TCGTGTATTCCAAACCAAAATCTTCATCGCTTCTTCCCTCCTTAGGGGGGGGGGGGAGGGGGGAACAAGTGGTGGAGCAAGTTTTTTCTTTGACCTCTGACTCTTTACTGTAATCCACAGATTGCTCTCTTTCCCAACAGGAGTCGACTGCTGAGTTAACCTGCCAGAGGAATCTGGCGAGCTAACTGAAACAGACAATTGCGGAATGGGTTGAGAGCTCCCAGGAACCCCTGATGACCCTTTCACCGCTTCCAAAAAACTCACTGCTGAGCTCCCATTTGATGGGGGGGGGGGGGGGAGAGAGATTCCCTCAACACTAGTCGAGCTTGAGACATTTCCAGAACCCTCGGAGAGATAAGGCTGATTACACTCACCTGTAGGCCGCCATCTAACAACTGGGGAGAAGAGCTACAGTGTGCAGTGACTGCTTTTTCTGGTTCTAGTGCAACTTGCAGAGTTGGGAGGCTTCTATGGCAATCTCTCATTTGTGGCATTTGGCGTGACAGATGCAATGCAAAGCATGGGAAACCCATTTTGAGCTTGGAAAAAGTGCATAAGAGGGTGAAGAGTGATCTGGAAGTGTTGTGTGCTGCTGAAGATTTGGAGGTGTTCTTGTGAATGTGAATTATTTGTTTTGCTTTGGTTTTTTATCTTGACTTAGATTTCATTAATAGGGTTGCAGTAGTAGAAGTGACCTAGTGGCAAGGGCTGTTGCCACAAGTACAGTCTTTTGATGAAATATATCCTTACCATTCATAGAAAAAAGTTCGCGGCCAGAGATCACGGGCGGGATCTTCTATTGCGAGGCCACGATCCTGAAACGCAGTCATATTGGTCTTCTGGATTGAGGAGATCGGAGGCTGACTTCGCAGTCGCGATCCGCGAGTTGCGACCAGGATCTTCTTTGCAGTCAAAATACACTATGGTCGTGATTTGATTGGGGAAACTTTTTGTTTCTCCTCGGCTTCTTCTTCACGAAGTTAACACCCTGAGCCCTCCAATTCGCGGCCGCGATCTTGCGCTTCCAGACCGCGAGCTTCACGTTGACTTTGCGGTCCATGATCTCGGCCGTGATCTTCTCTTCTAGGACACGATCTTCAGTCTTCTACCTCCTTACTACCCTTGTGATCTTGTTTTGTACCTAATTCACAAGAACAAAAGGTTCGCTCTTATCTCATCAATGGTCTGGAACTTCCCAGGCTAAAGTATCCACCTGAGATGTTCGAAGCAGGATGATTATGACATTCAAACACCTAAAAAATGAGGCTCTAAAATATGCATAAAATCTATGTCATCATTAGCACATCTATTTCGCGAGTGGAGTGGATTGAGTGATTATGAATTCTTTAAATGTTATTTGTATTTTACCGTATATTATGATGGTTAGTGTTTACCCTAAAAATTAATCTTGTACGACATCGTCTAAATACAAGGGATTAAATTACTTTATAAGACAAACTTAATTATAACAGTTTAAATCAATTAAGTGGGCCGCGTGGATTGAATTTTTGGGCCCAAAACCCCATATACCATCATGTGCCACTCTAGCCATCTGCTCCAAAATTTGGCTAAGTGTTGGAGTCACCCCCATGACATGGTGGTGGTGGGGATCAACACCGTCAACCCCATGATGTGCTAGGGGTGGCCACCATACCGCCACCCCCATGACGTGGTGAGGGGATGATCGCCATACTGTCACCCCATGATATGGCGTCAATTAACGAAACCCAGACCTTGGTTCAGATACATAATGGATCTTGATGATGCTGGTTTGTGTGCTATGGCTTGGAAGGAAACTGGTAAGGTTTTTATGTTTCAACCATTTGGGAAACTATCAGATTCAAAAATCCTAAGGTGAGTTGGTGAAGGATTCTTTGGGGAAGTTTGTTATGCCAAGGAATCGTTTCATTACATGGATGGTTATTCTGGATCGTATTAATACAAGGGATAAACTTAAAACCTGGGGAGTCACCATTGTTGCTGATTGTGTGTTGTGTCACAAGTATGAGGATTCTAAGTAACACTTGTTCTGCGAACGTGAATATTCTGTTGCTTTCGTTTATGCTCTTATGAGGACGCTTGTTTCTTTGCAGCCTTGCTGGGATAAGATGCTTGAGTTTATGTGTAGGAAAGCCTCCCAGGGAGGTAGTGAGTCTTTGTTGGATTGTTCTTTTTGGCACTGTAGTATAAGCTGGCTTTGGAAGGAGTGTTGTAGACACTGTTTTGGGGAGAGTTCGAGAGCTCCAAAAGTTTTGGCAGAGTTACTCAGGGAAGAGACGAAACTTTATAGATATTGTCATGTTGATTTTTCTTCTGAGGTTTTAAGAATTTTAGTTATAGCCAACTTGGGATAGCTTAGGGCCTGTTTACTTTCATTTCTGTTTCCTGTTTTTGAGAAAACAGATGTTGAAAACAGGTGAAAACAACATTTTGACGTTTCCAAAAACAGCAGGAAGTTGCCACTTTCTGTTTTCATAGTTGGAAACGAATAGAAAACAGAATGAAAAGTAAACAAGTTTTCTCATTTCGGTTGCCAAATTTATCACATGAAAACAGAAAACAGGAAACGAAAATGGAAGTGAACAGGGCCTTAGATTCTCTTTGTAGTTTTTTGCTTCCTGTTTTCGGTTGTTCTCAAGAAGTCTGTAGGCTTTTGCCTTATGTATTTTTCGCCTCTTTTGATTTTTGGCAAAGAGTGAGCTTCAATAGTAACCTCTAATTACCGAGGGAAATTTTGAGATTTTTTGAAGGTCGTTACTTCTTGTGGCGATAAATAGGAGGTGAAGATGACAGAAAAGTGGTTCGCCAAATTCACACTAGACAACCTATTGTCAAGTTTTATCTTTTTTTTCCCTCTTTTCCTCAGCAAATGTAACTATAACCATAGTTGTAGTTTAGAGCTCTTGCTGAACCTTCGTAGGAGTAGATTTAATGTAATTTAGATTTGCCTCGTAGATCATCAAGAACATCAAACATCCTTATTTGAACTTTATTCAAAAAAATGTGGACTGTATTTATTATAAGAAAAAACGTATATACATTTTCAAGATACACCTAGAGCTGTCAAAATGTAACCCGACCAGAGTAACCCGCCCGATCAACCCGACCCGCAACCCGATTTGACTAAAAGTCAATGACCCGTAACCCGCCCGACCCGCAACCCGATTGACCCGCAACCCAACCAACTCGCAACCCAACTATAATAGAAGGAATTCGATGAAGATAAACCAAAAGTTGACATTTGAAATTCTAGTTCACTAAAGTCTGATCATTACATCATCAATTATTAACTTAGTATAATAATATACATCATCAACCTATTAACGCATATAATATCATCAAATATTTATTTAGATACATCATCAACCTAATAGTGCACATAACATTATAAAATATTATTTTAGCATAATAAGATAATTATAAGATTTAAGTTGTTTATTTTAGTACACATAACTACTTGCTTATTTTAGTTGGTGTATAGGGTATATAATGAGTGTAATGAGTTAGGATATAAGGTATTAATATTTTAGGCACGATTAGTCAAAAAATCAAAATAATAACTTATAACTAATAAGGATCGAGTTTTTTATTACACGTGTTCATGAATCAAACCATTAGGGGTTTTGGGTATATAGACTATAGAGTCGATGTATAGGATATATGGTTAGTCTAATGGGTTAGGGTATAAGGTATTAATGGTTTAACAATTATTAGTCAAAATCATAACTAATAAGATCAACTTTTCTTATTAACACATGTTCATCAATCAGAATTCAGATCATTAGGGGTTTAGGGTATAGGTTATAGAGTTGGCTTATAGAGTATATGGTTAGGGTATAAAGTCTTAATGATTTGACCACGGTTAGTCAAAATCATAACTAATGACATCAACTTTTCTTATTAACATATGTTCATGAATCAAACCAGTAGGGGTTTAGGGTATAGGTTATAGAGTCGACTTGTAGGGTATAAGATTAGAGTATATGGTATTAATGGTGTGGTGAGTGATTTGGGTGGAGACAATGACATTCAGTTTCTGGAGGACAAAAGTCCATGGGGTACTGGAGCTTGCTTCCGCCTTCATAGTCTCCTAAAAATAAAATAAAATGCTAAAATAAAAGATAAAAGGGAAAAGGTAGGACTTAGGATGGTGGGGCACTTGAAATTTTAGGAGCCAAAAATTTGACTGAGTGGGCGGTAGAATCACAAAAGCAAATTTTAGAATTTGAAAGAAGTAAAATTTTAGGACTATGGAGGCAAAAAATTGGGGAGCAAAATTTTCAAATTATGGAGGATGGAATAAAATCGGTAGATGCAAATTGTTTGGGAGATTTCCACTATAACATGAATTGCATTGGAATTCTTTTACAGTGCGGCAATTGTGTTGATATTTATTTTATTGACACCAATCTTATAATTTCATGCCCATATTAATGTTATAATTCCATACCTATATTTTTGGTTCCCCCAACAATTTTTCTAAATTTTAAAATTTAGTTTATTACAAAAATCATATAAACAATTAACTAGCTAAACCAACAATTTCACTATACATTTATATGAACAATTTCACTTGTTTTTAAAAAAATTAAAAAACTACTTTTAAACTTTTCTCTCCAAATATTCGGTTCCCCCAATACTACTGCCCAAAAATTTGATTCCCCCACCCGTCGAGACCCGCCAACAATTCCCCCCTGTAATGTTTCCCCAATTGCCCCGATTGACCCGCAACCCAAGTGACCCGCAACCCGAATGAACCCCCGAACCCGCCCGATTGACACCTCTAGACACACCTATGCTAACCACGAGAGCTTGTTTTTCTTGTACCTAGAGGAGGAGGGAACGAGAGAGCCCAGGAGCAAGCATACTTTCACTCTGGAATCTGGATTCTTCCTTTTGACACGTTTCTCTCACCTCACCCCCTTCCGGCCTTCCCCCTCTGTCTTTCTCTCTCTACCAATCTCGAATATAAATACCCTTTGCCATTCCCCCTTTATAATTTTGCCTCTGCCCTTTCCGTGGGGTTTCTTTTCATTAGCGGAGAGGAGGACTAGACAGACACGAACCCAAACCAAGAGAGAGAAAGAGGAAGGAAAACAAATTCCCGAAGGAAAATCCCCCAAAGGAACGAAGAGAGAAACAGAATCGAGCCAGCCACCCCTGTGCGCTCTCTCTCCCTCCTTCGCTTTTGCATTTAGCAGAGAGGCAAACAGTTTGATTCAACAACAAGAGGAGGAAGCAGACGAAGCTTAACAAGAAGATCCATTTCTTCTCTTCCGTCTTCGATAGATAGATACAAATACGCAGGAATTAGAGGGAGAGAGAGAAAGACAACGAACCAGGTAGAGACGGATTGGATGTTCATATATAGAGAGTAACAGAGGAAGAGAGGGCGAGAGAGGGGAGACACAGACTGTTTTTCCTTAGCGGGAAGCCATGGGTTTCGTTTGTTGTTTCCACCAGAGGTCTCAGTTTTATCTGTTCCTCTGTTTCCATCTTTGAGATCTTGCCCATCATCCTTTTAACACATTGCCTACTTTGGAACCCCACCAGCGATCCGTATGAAACAAACCCTTTCCTACTCTCCATTAGTATTTCACCTTAAAAATTTCATTGTTTCTGGGCATTCGAAATATCTGCTCTTTTGATCTTCAAAAGTTTCAAACTTCGATGTTGTCATCCTGCAACTTTCACACTAAACAATTCTCAGTGTTTCCCGGGTTGGGCAAATTGAAATTTGTTACGCTTCTTTGCTTCGCGGAGTATGTTGATTGGCCTTCTTTCTGTTCTTTTTTTGTCTAGGGTTTCGGCCGGATCGTCCGTGGGAATCTGCCCTGGTCTCTGGAGAATCTGCCCTAATTGTGGTTTTTATCAAGTATTAGGGTTTGTATATAAGGAGCAAGGAATTGGAGATTTTGGGATCAGTGGCTACGGTTTTAGCTTCCCACATTGAATCTGGCAAAAATCAGAGGTGGGTTTTCGATAGAATCCTCAAATTACAATCGAAGAAGTTGCTAACTGGTTCGGGCTGGCACTTAAGAGGTCAGGATTTTGATTCCGGAACTTGATGGAAGCTCTTGAACTGGCTTTTGCTTGCTAGCAGATTGCGAATTGGAACTTAAGCATTTTAAGCAAATCTTTGAGCTGATTGGAGCTTTATTAGTCCCGGGGGCTACTGGAATTATACTCATTGTTACTTCAAGGGAGTTGCCCTCTTAAATTCTCGTGGTTTCAAGCTGGTTCTCAGCTCAGATATTTCGAAGGAACATCACTCACTTGAGGGGAGACTTCCTTTTGGATGGTTCTTTTGAGGGATGATGTAGTGGTGTAAGCTGGAAATGACTGCGGGGACATGGTGTTTGAGCAAGAGCATAGTTTATGGTCTGTTCCTGTCTTGGAACAACTGTACGGGAAACTAGATAAAACTTTTTGTTTGGTGCGGAGCTGCTACTTGGCCATATCCAGGGTTCTGTGCGATGTCTCGTTGCTTTCCATTTCCTCCACCAGGATATGAAAAGAAGATTAGGATTGATGATGCCGACTTGCTGACAAAGGTTTATATGCTGCTTATAGCTACTGTCATTTGCTAGCTTCCATTTGCTTTTGGATTCATCTATGTTTGACCATTCTACATCTGTGGTGGTGTGGGTATTGTGCAATTATTTTGCATTTGGAAGTATGATGGAATGTGGACTTAAGGTTAAGGCATTTGATCTAGGGTGGGGTCACATTTTCTAAAAACTTGTGATGGGCATTACATAGATTTGATGTACGATAGGCAAAATTTTGCTAGTGTAAATAAGGAAGCACGAAACACACTTGTAACGCTATATGTTAATGGAAGCATGAAACACACTTACCTGTGGTGCTACGAAACTATAATGATGTGGAGAAGCTATCCTGCACTAGTATAAATGTTATGATACTTCTACGTATTGAACAAGAGTATTTCCTCTCTTCCTCAGTTGACAATATGGAAGGATTTTTTTTTTTCTTTTTCATTGCAGCACAATATAAAAGTTCATTTAGCTACCTTTTGCCTATGCTGTGGTTATTGAGATCTTGATTTTGTTTAGAGCTATTTTGTTCTGAATTGTGAATATCTCATCTGGTGTTATCAGCATAATCTTCTTTTGTTAGCTCTAGAATCTAGTAATTGTATAGTTCAAAAGTTTCTGTATTGGGCAAATGCAATCTGGAGGGAGCATTAATTCACTGGAAGTTAGAATGCCCTTAGTCATACCCTTTTGTTGCTGTACATTGAACCAGCAGAGTCTGAGGTTTTTATAGACTCTTGACGTTAACCTTCCTTCAATCATAGTTAGGCATTTTGATTCTCGAGGTTTTAGATTTGCTAGTGTCTTTGATTGATTTGGATATCCTAAAGGAAATCAAATATAGCACCTTTGACCAAGTATGTTCTATTTTGTTGACCTTTCTCAGCTGCTGTGCCATTTTTTATGGATTTCTTAACTGACTGTCCTTAGTGAGATTTCAATTGTAGGATTGTACCATTATCATTTTGTAGTCCTTTGCATCCTTACTTCTAGCTTACTATAATGGGTCATCTGAGTATCCCTTTGGATATATCTTATACAAGTTAGTTATTGTGCTCTCTGACTTACTGGGGAGAGTAGGAACCCAGAGATCCGTAGTGCCGTCTCCTGGCCAGTAGAAGTGAGTGTGAAGAGGGTTCATCTTACCTACCTAATTAGTCACTTTGCATGTCGGAGTTCAACTGAATATCAGCTAACATTATCGACAACGAAGTGGAGTTTGGGTTTCAGAGTTATCTTTGATCAATAAGAAAATGAAGCCTTTTGTGTTGAAGCTTTGTTGAAGTTATGTTGTTATTTAGATTGATTTTGATTTGAGGGCAGTGAGTCCTATGATTCTATTGCCAAGAGCTTCGTTCTCTAATTTCATTTTTTACTGTAAGGTCCAAGATGACTTATGGGCTGCCCTCTTTTTCTAAAGATTTTCATTGGCCTTTCTGGAGTGGAGGTATAGATTACTTCCCATCTGTTCATGTTAGGGACATAGTTTCCACTTCTATCATGGTGGAGGCGAGTGAAGCAGCTTCCTTAAGCTTAAGTGATGCTATAATTTAGGGATATTACTTCCCATCTAGTCATATTAGGGAGATAGTTTCCACTTCTCCCACGGTGGGGTCATGTGAAACAACTTCCTGAAGCCTCTGTGGTGCTATGTATTTTTATGTAATCTGCAACGCTTTGATGAAAGATAATCCACAGATGGATGCACTCCTCTATGATCTCTGGTTTAGATTTTTGCATGACATTCCCTTTTATATTGGCTCTTTCTTGTTTAATTAGCACTGATTGTAGATTTTGTTTACAGGAGAAGCATAAGGAGAAAAAACATAAGAAAGATAAGAAGCACAAAGAGAAGAGGGAAGATAAAGACAGGAAGGATAAAGATAGAACTAAAGAAAAACATAGGGAAAAGAAACAACGGAAAGAGAAGGACAAAGACAAGGAGAAGGAAGGGGATAAGGCGAAAAATCGAACCTCGGATGAGAAGAGAGTTGAAGGGAAGAATACTATCAGTAATCAACAGAAGGCTGCCTCAAGTGGTGTTAATGAAATCAATGATTCAAAATTTATTCAGGAGTTGGCCAAAAGGATCAAGGATGATAGTCAAGTATCACCGAGCCAGATGGTGCACAAGATTGCTGCTCCCAGTCAGACGAGGGCAGAGCCAAGAGGAATCTCCTTGGACAGAAATGTTGGGAATCTATCCAAGGAAAAAGAGAAAATTAAGGGTAATGGTGAAGATCACTGGAAGGCCAACGGGCAAAGGGACATCGTTGATGCAAACGAAGTGGATAATCCGTTCGCTCAGAACTTCACTGGTATTGATACACATAGAACTGAGGATCCTGCCAAACAGGCTGCAAAGAAGAATAGTGATAAGCCCACAGAAGGGAGAGAGAAGAAGAAGAAACACAAGGAGAGTAAGGCAGACAAAGTCAGAGATAAAGATAGAGGTTCAAGATCAAAGAACAAGGAACGGGATAAAGAAAAGAAAAAAGAGGAGAGAACGAAAGAGGTAAGAGAACCAGGTAAAGATCAGATACTAAAAGAAAGTCAGAACTCCTTGGACTCTGGGCATATCAAAACGTCTGATCTGGCAAAGTTAAGTACCACAACTTTTGGTAGTGAGGGAACTATTGGGAAGCACAAGGAGCTTGAGGATGAGATGTTACAAGAGCCTGGACCTAGATTAAAAGAAATTAATAATTTCCCCCTCGACTTTCGGAACATCAAAACCTCAAACCCTTCAAAGCCAAGCAGAACAACTTTCAGCGTTGAGGGAACTCCCGGCAAACCCCAAACTATTGAGGTTCAGATATTAGAAGAAACTGTGCCTAAACTGAAAGAAAGGGAGAAGGACCCCTTGGACTTCCGGATTGTGAAACCTTTGGAGGCATCAAACAATGCAACTTTCAACAATGAGGGGACTCTTGTCAAACGCAAGGAGCTTGACGATGGTGGTCACATAATAATAAAAGAAAGTATCAAGGAGACTCAAGACTTCCAGAACATCAAAACCAATGATGCATCAAAGTTAAGCAGCACAACTTTCAGCAATGATGGAACTCTTGGGAAACGCAAGGAGCTTGACGATAGAGGTCGCAAACTAAAAGAAAGTATTGAGGACTCCCAAGATTTCTGGAATATCAAAACCATGGATATATCTAAGTTGAGCAGCACAGCATTAATCAATGAGGGAACTCATTGCAAACGAAAAGAGCTTGATGGCAGTGGTCAGAAAACAAAAGAAAGTAAGAACCACCTTCACTTCCAGAATAATAAAATCTCAGACCCTTTGATGCTATGCAGCACAACATTGAGCAGTGAGGGAACTCTTGGCAAACGCAAAGAGCTTGAGGTCAATGAACACATGCTTGGTGAGTTTTCTTGTGGATAGGGTATTATGTATGCTATACATGTTCTTCACTCCATTAATTGGGATTCCAATGCGTTTGTGACAAGCAATTGGGTATTTGAATTGATCTATTACATGTCCCTGGACGTGTTTTGCTGTAGGATATTGTTGGTCTTTTGATTGTTTCTAATTCTCTGTTATCTCTATCCCTAGTCAAACACTCACGGTGGTTGAAGTTCCTATTGTTGAGGAGTATACTTAATACTTGTTCCCATTGTTGTTTCTTTTCCTGGTTTAGAAGGGGATGATTTTCTTGGACATTGACTTGGCTCCTATTTTAACCTTTTCACAGACAATGGTCACAGACCTAGTAAATTGCGGAGACCTCTTGCTTCCTCTGATTCAGTTATCCAAAATGGAAGGAAAGCAGAACCATTTCAAGGCACTGTTCAGCTTGCATCTGAGAAGCAGGAGGCTGCTATTAGTCATGGGGTGGATATTAAAGAGCCGAAGATTAATGGTTTTATAACTGCGGAACCGTCCAACTCATGCCCATTGAGGCCTCCATCTGCTAATGTGCCAGCTGCTGGCAGTAAAGAAACTGTAAAATCACCACATCCTGATGCCAAGTATCTGGATCAGATACTTTTTGTGCCTGAAGGGGTTGATTTGCCTGATTTCTGCAACCAGGACTGGTTATATAGTGGCATTCATCAGTCAAAGAAGCCTCGCAAAGACTGTCCTGAGGTTCATGGAACAAAGCAAGTATGGGCAGAAGCCCTTCGGATAGAATCCGCTGAAGTTTCAGCACTGCCATATGTCATTCCATATTGATTTGATGCTTAGCAAGTAGGTCAATGGCTTTGCCATTCCTTCTGACGGCAGTTAAAAACTGCTTGGGACCTTCTATTAGGGCATATGCTGGCATCTGCTCTTGAGAAGGTTGGTATGTCAATGCTTTCCCCGTTATATTATTTTGGCACGGATCAGCTTGTTAGAGTGCAGAGAGTATAGACCAGATCACCGTTGCATTAAAATAATAGTGGGTTTCTGATTTATATGATCTGGAAGCGATTCATTTTGGGATCGGTTGCAGAAAACTAACCAAGTTTTGTGCTTTTCCCGAGAATATTAGTGGGTTTTCGTTGAATTGCCTTTTGCTTTTGTGTTTGTGGCAATTACCTTACCCTTGGGTTTTGGTTAGTCGGAGCTGCGTCTAAGTGAATTGGAGAGTGAGATAGGGAGGAGAAGAAACTGTAAAATGGATTCCTTTTTGGGACTCTGATTAAGTTTAGAATACAGAGTGGGTAAAAGGAGAGTGAGTCGGGGCTGAAGGGGTCATTTGTGTTTACAAGGCAACAGTTTTGATTGTTTCGTAGAGGTATTCGTAATAATGTAAATTTTTCTTAGAAGGAAGATACGGTATAAATAAGCTTATTCATTTCCCGTGGTGTTTCCTACTTGAGATGATCTCTTTGTTGTTCGAGAGCTGATTTTTTTTTATTTTGAATCATTGGACCTGTATATTAGATAGTGCAGCGTGGAACATGTGCTAGAGTGGTTCTCTGTTCAGTTTTCACTTGGACTCTTCATATTGTTGAAGCTGATTTGATGTTCATAATTTCTGGATAGAGTAGTTGGTAGAGTTGATTGTAATGCAAGCAAGGCAAGAGAAGCCGAAGAAAGTTTGTTGATTGTGGTTCTGTAACTAATGAGTTCTTAAGCAAGTTGGGATTTGACCACCTCTAATTCGTCGATTTTTGTTTTCTGTCAAGTGATAGATTACCCGTGATTGGCACATGAATATAGCTAAATTTGGACGTCTTCATGCATGACTTGAATGGATGGTTTGGATTAGGGGTGGAAGTTTGGGTTGTGGGTTGTAGATAATCCGCAAACCGTACCAACCCGCACCTATTGTGGATAACCATACCCACAAGTTGTGGGTAGTGGGTTGGGTGTGGGTAGTAAAATAACGATTTTTGTGGTTAGTGGTTATCCACTACCCACCGCGGTTAACCCACAAAATTCACAATAACCACACTAATTATATTTATTTAGTGAATTAACTTTATATTATAATAGTATGTGAAAAGTGCGAGGATAAAAATTAAAGTAGACACCAAATATAAAAGACACACCTAACCAGTTTTATGTAAGAATTTTTTCAATTTATAAAACACTATAATCGATAGTGTGGAGAATAATCAATTCATTAAAAGTGAACACCTTTTGTAACTTTTATCAGTATGTTTTTGCTTTTGTATGAAAAAATACAAGATCATATTTAATTGTCATATTTCACCCCTAGTCGGGAAAATATGAAATCCCAGCTCTCTAACACAAAAGTTAAATACCAAACTCAAAAAGAAAAAAATCTCTACGTTGAGTAAGATCGATGTACAAAATTGTATATCACGAACAACACAAGTGTATATCACTATAGTCTAGTTACGAACAATAAATACGTTAGTGGCGACTAGAACTCTATGCTTGCAAAGATGGATTTTTGCGGGTAACCACACCCAAACAGCACAAACCCACAGTGGGTAGTTGGTTACCCACTAACCACTGCGGTGCGGGTTGTGGGTAGCATAATTGTAGATTTGTGGGTGTGGGTACCCGCAATGTGGGGCGGGTAACCACCCACCCCTAGTTTGGATGGGTGGATAATAAATAAACATTTGTGACGATTGACGAATGAGACATTTCTGTAAGAGGGGCTCTATATACAAAGTCGCTTTTCATTTAATATTATTTTTTGTTAATATTTTCATTTGGCCCGAACTTTTTTGAAATTATTATTCTGGCCATTTTTTTTTTCAAAATGTGTATCTTGGCCTAAATTATATTCATCAATGACTCATTTGGATTGATTGGAGTGTTAGTCAAGGTTGTCAACCCGCGGATCGACTCGCGAGTTGACCTAGATTGATCCGGACTCGAAGGAAAAAACGGGTTGTGAACACCCATTCAAGGGTTAGTCCAGATTGGCAAATCTGGAGGACTCAGACGATTGGTTTGGCCAAAATTGGTACCAGGTCGTCCTTTGACGTCGTCATGTTTGCTTTTTCCAATTCCGGTGCTCACTGTCCTTGAGGCATAGTTGAAGGAGATTCTCCTAGATCTGCGTTTGACAGTTTGAATGAGCTGGGGAACCGCGGGGAGGAGGACTTCGGAAGTGGTGGCCGACGTTCGGTCGCTGGGAGGCGACGGGGGCTGAGGGGTTTGGAATCTAGACGAAGCAGATCAGATGGCGGAGAGATCGTCGGCTTTCACTTTGATGAGGCTTTGTTGAGAGGCGGATGTACAGGGAGAAGGAAGGATGATGCTTTGAGAATCCCCTACCCCCCCCCCCCCCCCCCTCTATTTAACAACAACCTAGAAAGAAAACACAACCTAGCTAGAATAGGAGGAGGATGAAAAAGTTACGAGGCAAATGACCAAAACTTGTAAATATCATGGTAAAACCTAAGGAATCAACATTCAATCACATTTAGCACGAAATTAACCTAAACTGACCAAGGTATGATGATTACATCATACAAACGCCTAAGAAATGGGGTACAAAATATGTATTAAATTCGTGTCATCAATTGCATAAGATAATTGTGACAACAATCCATGATATAACTAGAAACTCTAGAGGGAGCTTTGCCTAAAGAATACCGCTTTCCATTGCTTTCCCTTCCGACTTTACCTTTGTTTTACTTACTGTTTACATTTCAAAACTTTTACCAAACCCGAGGCACCTCAACCTCGCAAACAAGGTTTTCCAAAAGAACAAGATCCTCACTATCTAAGTGAGATTTGAAAGGCCATGTGCGAATATTATTATGGTTACCTACCATATCAATCTGAACCCTATCTATAGCGGATCACCGAGCTTTTTGTTTCTAGATATTTTTAAGGCCTTCATATTTTAGGTTTTTTCATACCATTCTTTGATCTTCATTGCCTATATTTTTTTTTATTTGCATCCCAAATTCATTCCTCGGAGCTTTTCATGTCATCTTAGGGTGCATTAGACAATAATTGCAATTAAGGCACAAAACAGGGCAAAAGTGTAGAGTTTAAGTGCCAAAATGGAGTTCGTAGCCGCAGAAGCCAAGCCCACTGTCGGGATCACATAGGTCGTGAAGTCCAACAGAAGATCACGACACCAAGCCAAATATTACGGCCGCAATCTTTGAGGAGGCAACCGCAAACTCGGAGGATTGCGGCCTCGAGAGGAAGTTTGATGCCGCAATCTTGAGTCCTTCGACTGCGGACTCGCCTGCATTTCCATAACTCTAAAAATAGGGGTCTCCTCCCCTTTTGTAGAGTGACTTTTGGTAGATTCATGATTCTATAGTGAGGTCAGAGAGAGAAGTAGAAGGTTGGAGAAGAAGAGGTGAAGAAGAAGTTGAGGAGATCTTTGGAGGAGGATTTTCAAGCACTAGATGGCCTTCTTTCTGATTTCTTCCCCTCTATTCATGTCTCTTCCCCCCCCCCCCCCCCCCTTGGGACTTAGTCTCTCAAACACTTACCCAAGGTTTGATATGTAATTGGATATTTTGTCTTGATTGTGGATGATAATGAACCTATCTATCTATGTTTGTTTGATGCTTTTTCTTTCTACACATCAAGTAGTGCAGAATTGTCTATTTCCCATTTTTTCCTAGTTGCAACTTAGTTGGGAGGGGATTTATCATACTCTTTCTTGTGATTTATGGATGAATTGTGTTTTCCTAGTGTGTTTATGCATGTATCTATGTCTATTGTGCTTTGAGCTTGTCTCTCCATATGCTATCTTTGAATGCGTAGGTAGGGTTGGTTGAAGGTGTTGTGGATATGAGCGGTTTGGCACGTTTTGTATAGATTAATGATCTAGGGACATAGTTGGTGGTCGAGGTGACTATCCGCTACCAATTAGGATGCCCACCTAGGTGATGCTAGGGTGGTAGGTGTGTGACCATAGACACATCAACCTAGTCTGCAAATGGGTGCAACCCATTGAAAAGGAATTAGGCTTATCCCTAATTTGTGAATCTGATTAGGGTGAGATTGGGGCAGTGGATGAGATTAGGAGAGGACTTGGTTGCATGACCATTGAGCTAGCTCTCATATTAGTGATTCTCACACAATGATTACCATGGATTGTTCTTTTATCCTTTGCATGTTATCTCCAGCGGTTAGGGCAAGGGACCTCAACTACCTCTTTTTTCATATTGCCCTCTCTTGCATTAATCTCCAACCGTCCATATGCTCAGTAGCAAGTCGAATAGATAGCAACCGAGTCTAAATGGACTAGGATACCATGACCCGTAGAATACGATCGAGCCACTTTACAGCATCCCTAGCATTGTTATACTTGGCATTGTTATGATAGAAGTGAGTGTGCATCGAACACAAATTTAAAACTCGATCACCGTCAATCTTATTTTGTAGATCACAACGAACCTGTTCTGTCTGTGTAAAAAAATTTGAAATCCAAATTAGAATGACGAAGATAAAAACAGATTAAGAAAAATAGTAAACATAAAAAGGACATTAATTCTCATCCCTTATATCCGACCACACTTAATACTAAGGTTCCCTATCTGTTTATACTTTATACAAGTATGAATAACCCTATCTTAGACCTAGGTAGAGTAGAAATGGGGTGCTGGTGGTGAGGAAGCGCGATTGAGGTGGAAAATTAAAAGAAAATTATTAATTTAATTTTTTAAATGACATGTCGGTTGGTTAAAGGTCAACTACCGTTGTTGAATGCCACGTAAGACACAAATAATAGAATTGGACGGCCAAGTAGCGCTACCAAGCCTATGGAACATTTGAAACGAGAGAAACAACCACCTATTCAACAAGAAAAAGGCGGAGGAATGGTAGATAGTGGGCAGGGCGCTTTCCTACTACGAAGAATTTCTATCAGTTCGACAGAAGGAGGAACGTAGGGGCAAAATTGTACTTGGGATTTGGAAGAAACCGCCGGCGGGCTGGTGTAAGATCAATGTAGATGTGGCCACTTTTCTCATAATAGAGCACATGAGCGGGACTTGTGGTGAGAGACTTGAATGGCCTTCCCTGCTAACGGCGGTCCGCCGAGATCAGCGCCAGTGGAGCGCCGAGGCAGCTGAGCTAAAGGCGATCGCGTTGGGAGGATAGGCCACCTCTTTTCGGTTTTTCATAACTTGCTGCGGACTGTAATCCTCCGATGATTGAGTAATAAAATCACAACAAGTGTTTTATAAAAAGAAATACATGATTTCTCTTTCAAATTATAATAATGTGACATGTTTGATCACTCGTACCAAAGTCTTAAACTATTACATATTATGAGATATATAATCTAACAAATGTATGAAATATTAAGAAACCACATTATAAGTTATATATATATTGATTCGCTCATAAGTCGCTAGTCGAACTTGCTTGCTAACCACACAGCCGAGCTAACTCATTAGCTAGAAATGAGCCAGCTCACTAGTTGAACTCAAGGAACCACTGAGTCGAGTTAGCTCGCGGCCTCATGAGCTGAATAAGGATGAGCTCAGACTTGACTTGTATATTAAATAGCCGAGTTATGAACAAGTTTTTCCCGAGTCTAGCGTCGAGCCGCTCGTGAGCGGTTTGACTCATTTGCAATCTTATAGCCAAGTGACCAAGACGTAAAGTGTTTAAAACTTAGTGAGTAGTAAGAAAGGAAAACATTTTGAGTGACAAAAGCAACAAAAAAATTAGTTAGTTGAGCAAGTAATTTAGCCAGAAAAATGACGCTAGTTTTACGTTTTTGGTATTCAATTTGAATCAAAGTCTCCTACTCTAGTTTCCAATACGATCTTGCAAATTACTTGCCAAGCGGAAAATTCCGTACCTCATCCTTCTTTCGTGGATATTCATCCAATAGACCAGCTTGGCACTTATTCTTTGCTTGATACTGATTATTACGATTTACGAGCCGAATAAGGCTTTGACCAACTAACCGAGGCCCCTCACTTCATCCAACAACAACCGAGAAAAGAAGTAATATTCTGCCAACTTGATTTCCTCGCGCAACTGAAATCTGACCCTAGAATCATGCCCATAGGAAGAGTTTCATTCAATCCTGTCGATGCCAAAAAGAGGCCAGTGGTCCTCCAAAGAAGTGAAGTAGCAAAACTTCTATTCTAAAAATGCAACATTCTGGCAATTGAGAGACATCTATCAAGAAAATTTGCTGTGAAGATCAAAATCAATAAAGAGACAGATCCGCTACTTTAACCTGCATAATCTAAAGGTTGAGAACTCGAGAAAAGAACACCAAATTCTTCATGCTTGATTATTGCACAAGAGGGGAACCAAAAGATAGACACAAATGGCAAAAAAGATAACACTGGTATTTCTGCTAAAGAACCCACATTTAACTCTGGTTTTCAATTAGAATCAATCAAGATGCTGCAAACGCAGTACTACTATTTGGGAGGCTCTGCAAAAACTTGGCTCTTGCATCGGGGTCGGCTGAAAATCTTCCTAGCACAGCAATTGTGGCTGTGCTACTTCCAAACTTCTCAATGCCTCTTGAAATCATACATGTGTGGCCAGCCTCTATAACTATAATCACATCTCCACCTACCAGGGACGAAACAGTCTCTGCAATTTGCCTGGTGAGTCTTTCCTGCACTTGGAGCTTGAAACCGTAAAAATGCACAATTGATTGTAGAAGTGACTTGGGAATTGGATTGAACCCAAAGTACCCGATGTGCACAACTCCATAAAATGGAAGCAAATGGTGCTCACACTGAGACCAGAATGACAAGTTTACCTCGGTCTGCAAACGCTCTGGCATATGGTTTACTACTAGTTCCCCATTAGCCTTCAGTGAATCCACCCCTCTACCATAAACAAACCCATTTAACTTCATCTCCAAACTGGTGTTGTGAAAATTCATAAGCCACTTTACGAAACGAATTGGAGTGCCAACTAGCTCTTCTCTTAAAGGATCTTCCCCTAAAGACCTGATGATTGAATCCACTGCGGTAACCATTCCTGAGTTGAGTTGTCCATTTTTAGAAGATAATTCTAGACTTGAGCAAGATTGCGATGGACACCATGAAGCTATAGAGTCTTCGGTCTGGAGATTATCAGTGTTTATGCCTCTAAACTTCAGAAGGCTAAAAAAATCACCCCAGTGGTCACCCCTATCATCTTCAAAAACACCTGAACCTGAACGGACCAAAACCTTCGACCATCCCTGGCGATTAGAGTCCACAAGGAATGACTCTAAGCTCGGGAAACAAATGTGCCGGCATTGGAGCACCACGGCCACACCTGCTGGTTTGATCCAATGATGAAGAGCTGAACAGACTTCATTGGCCAGGCGCTGCGGATCTTGGAGTCGCTTTGCAAAGACATCAGCCACCCTAGAAAGCTTGCTTAACCCTACAACTCTCTGACCAGATGGAATATAACCAACGTGGCACTTGAATTGGAAAGGAAGCAGGCATGACTCACAGTAGGAGAAGAGATCAAGATCCCGGACAACAACAAGGCCCCCAACACCCCCTGCATGTCCCACAGCAGCATCCAAACCAGCTTCAGGAAACAAAGCCCCCTCAACTATGTCTTTCACCTTTTGCTTATAACCTGTAAATTTTCAGGAGACAAAAATATCACTAGGAGATACTAAATTAAAAATTCAAACAACTCAATGCCCATTTGCATACAACTCAAGTAGATCATTGCACCGGAATCCAAGATCCTCCTCAGACTTTCCCCGCAGAATGGAGTTGTCTTATCCCACACAAAATCAGAAAACAAGGGCCAAAATGGTGGAGTACGGTCGGCTAATGGGTTAAAAACTATTAACAGATCCGGACAGAACTATGTAAATATCAATATCAAAATTCCCAAAATATGTATAGCGCTAACATTTACGGCAGAAGATGACAAACATAGATACTCCTAGACCACCATTCTTACACGCTAAAGATATGGAGTGGTGATATATGACTATATGAGAACTCAACTCATTCAAACAATCAACTTCAGATTCACTTCCCATCTAGGACAGCTTCTATAAGTAAAGGAAACAACAAAAACAGAGTAAATAAAGCCGAACAATAGTGAAAAGGGAGGGAAAAAGTGGTACCTTTAGTGCCTTCTCTCAAGGCCTTGGCAACCCGAAATGGAGTCTTTTTGATTCCTTCTCTATTGATATCCTCTCCCAGACCTTGTAAAAGGACTTTGACAGCATCCTCAATGGCCAAAGTCTCGGGTTGACCCTCAATCCCCTGCGGCTGCAAAGGGCACTCTAGTTTCACTCCGTTGGCAAGCACCGCATGGAAATGCCCCTCATCTAAAGCGCCCATTTACAGAACCCAACAACAAGGAATCGGTGCAGCGCAGCTTACACCAACCCACCGACGACAGTCAGATCCCTTCCAGACGAAGCACGAAACTTTCGGAAGGGGCACGACTTCAAATCAGGAACAATGAATGGGGAAAAAATTTAAACAGGTCTGGAAGGATGCAGCGTATCCAGATGCAAAACGAATCAAAATCACCCACAAATAAGGATCCCCAGCTATTAATCAATACGAAAAAATTGAGATCTCAGGGATACCCAGATGGCGAAAAGGAGCAGGGTATGAACTAGGAACGGAGAATGAAAGGAACGATGGTGGGCTGAGGGGAAGTAGAACGTGGGGTAGCCGATGATCCTCTGGAATGTGTGGATCGTTTATTTCTGAAATATGGGTGAGGATTGTGGAGAAGACAAGGGATAATGGTGAAGGTTTTTATTTATTTATAACAGTAAGAATAATAATAAACAACGTATTTCTGCGAAGTGGGACCTTCATCACCGAACGAAAACGGAGCTTGGCGGGCTGCAAGGGCTGTGCTTTTTGTTTGTATGTATGGCGGTAGGCGGAAGGAGGAGGCGATGGGTGGGAGGGAAGAGATCTAAGTCGGGAAATCGATGAGCTTTAGCTGTCAATTCAATTGGGAGATTTAGGGATTTAAAACGTTGCAATTCGCTTTTCGAAATATACTATGAGCCGACCTAACAAAGAAAAAGATGGTTGGTTGTTGCAAGTAGGGGTGTTTAAACGGTGTGGTTAACGTGGTAATCATTTTAATCGGTACTATTTGGATAATTTGGGTTGGTTAATTTGGATAATTGGTTTGGTTTGGTTAAAGTTTTTAGCTTGTTTGTTTATATGGTTTGGTGTTCGACTCGAGAAAAGCTCGTTCGAAACTCGGCTCGTTAATGAACGAGCCGAACATGAGCTAAGCTTTCTTCAGCTCGTGAAGCTCGCGAGCTAGCTCGACTCGGTGGCTTGTTGAGCTAAACTCGTGAGATGGCTCGTTTAGAGCTCATGATATGTCTCAACATGTGGCTAGAGAGCCAACTCGATTACCGACTTATGGACGAATCAATCTATATCTTATGTTTTTAATTCATATGATTTTTAAATTATATATCTCACCATATATAAAGTTTGGACGGTTTGGTTATGCTATTGTATTCCATTGTTAATGAAATTTACCCTTATTTGGTTTGGTAATTACCATGGTAACCATTTGAACACCCCTAGTTGTAAATAGGGTTGCAAATGAGCCAAGCTGTACGTGAACACCGAGCCGGGCCGCCCACGGGCTAGCACGGCACGGTTAGAGCACGGCACGAGCAAGAAATAAATGGCTCAGCCCAGCACGGGCACAAATAATTTATGGGTCGTGTCGGGCCTAAACTTCATGAGCACGGGCACGGCCACGACACGGTATATAAGTGGGTCGTGTAAGGCCTAATATTTTTGAGATTTCATTGAGTATAAGAACGGACATGGCACAAAAATAATATTTATTTGATAGAAAATAGATATAAAAAGAATTATAGGCTCAAATATTACAAAATATAAATAGAAAAATAATTATTTGTTGTTGTTAGAAGTGTCATAAAGATATATACGTAATTACTACCATAAGTAAAAATGGACGAAGAATTAAACAAAATCAAATCACACCCACTATACTTCCAATTTCTTTTCCCCCTTATTTGTCATTTTCTCAAACATTCTCGGTTAATACTATCTTTCTTCATCCAATTTTCACCTTCTTTTTCGTTCTCTCTTTTATTTTCTTTCTTTTCATTAGACACGAATACGAGCACGAATAGGCACGATACGATTTCAACCGTGCTCGGGCCTGGCCGGGTCTAGCAAAGTTAACAAATGGGCTTTCACTTGTTACCACTCTAGTACCACTTTCATTTTCACTCAAATTTTGAAAATGTTTGAATGTTTGAATGATTATCATGATTGATTGAGTCATGAATCACTAGTATCCTCCCTCGATTTTTATTGTAAGACGTTGATGATTGCTTATGGAAGTATATGCTAACGATTATGCGTGTTGTGGTGTTGAATGGTTTATTGATTGTGTTTTGGAACCTAAAATTCACTACCCAAATTTTTTCAAATTTGAGGGTTCTAAAACACCTTGTTCCTTGCAACTTCCTACTCAATATGCTTTGAATTAATAGATGATTGATGTGTTGTGCTCGCTAAGGAGTAGTTGCATTATTAGAGTACCGATGTATGAGAGGTTTTACTCTCTTCTTACTCTTTGGTGAGTCGATAATGTTTTCTATTTTAGGAAAAAAAACATGTGTGCTGGATTCTCCTTCATTTTTTAAATCAAAACTTTTACAAATTTGTGCTTTATGTTGAAAAAATAGAATATCTTTTGAAAAGAGGTTCTCACGTGAGAGGCAACCATTCCTCTTGGCTCGGAGTGCCATTTGATGATATGTTTGGGGACCAGATAGCTTTATCGCGTTCCGATCACCTTTAACTACTTAGCATCCCCCAAACAACTTTCCTCCTCACGGTAAGCTTTTTCATACCATATGGTATATAGTATATACTGGTAATTTATGACTCAATTTTTTTTTTCAAAAAATATATCAAAGTAGATATCATTTTGAAGAGCACAATCAATCTGATCTAACTGTGCAAAAATATAAATACCGACTTAAAACGAGTGAAAAATCGTCCGTAAAAATTAAGGAGGAAAAAATTAAAGGTTTCCCAAAAAAAAAAAGAAAAAAAAAAGCTGATGTGACAGATGGTGATTGAATTATCCATGTTACTTACCGCTAGAGGTGGCAATTTCAATCCAATCTATCAATCCATTAAAAATATCCACCTAATCCAATTCATTTAAATCCAATCCATTTTATCCAAATCCAATTGGATTGGTGGATTCATGGATTGGATCCATGGATCATTGGCAAATTACGGTTTAGTACCTATAATTTTTATTTTTTACATTTTGGTACCTAAAATTTAAATTTTTATACGAAAAATATCATTGGGAAATTACGTTTTGGTACCTAAAATTTTTCATTATGACATTTTAGTACCTACTTTTTACATTTTACATATTGGTCTTTGGTTGAGGATGTCATTTGGATTCATGGATAATCCACCAATCTACTTGATCCAATCCATGAATCTACCAATTCATTAGATCCAATCTATTTGATCCATGGATCCACCAATCCAATCCACCAATCCAAATTCATTTGCCACCTCTACTTACCGCAGGTTATGAAGAGGAACTATTCTGGACATGTTACATAATTGAGCCCCGGGAACAATTTACATGTTAATCCTTACCTTTTTTATTCGAGTCATGGAGCAATTCACCAGGAAAAGCTAAGACGCACCATTTCTGATTTAACCCTAAAGCGGCTTTGGATCTTCAGATCCATCAAATTCATTTGATTAAAAGGTTATGGAAACTAGACAGAAATTCAGGCTGTGCCCATCGTCCCTCGCCCACCACCACCACTGCCACCACCACCGTCACCCCCTTCCATTTTTAACACCACCACCACCAGCTGACCGTCACCACCACCACCACCACTGCCACCACCTCCATCACTGCCACCGCCACCTTACTGGCCAACTCCCGACGTTTGTCCCTCCGATGCAGAATCCACATCTACCGGCGACTGCTTACCCACTGCCACTGCCGCTGCCGAACCCTTTAACCCTAGAAGGAGCCACCGTCTGGAGTGCAACTTTCCCCACTACTACTCAGTATATCCTACATCCATATCTCTGCTGTTTGTTCTTTTCGTGTCCGAAGTTGGTCTGTAACGTGGTCTTTCTTCCTAACTTCTGGTTTGTGGCCATTCGATTTAAAACAGGACGGAGCCTGCGGTTGATTTTAAAGCTATAGACGAAGCAGATGAGCAGCGAGATGACTACAACGATGACGACGATCCGACTTTTGTGCTGACCGATGAGTGGAAGGAGTTCTTCGCAGCATCTGAAGCCAGAAGGCGACTAGGTCCCAATCTTCCCCTACCCTTTTCTAAACACATTTATATTGATTCATAGATTTAGCCAACTTGAATGGGATCCCTTCCTTTTGATATGCAGAGAAGCAGCAACGACGCTCTAAGAACAAGGCTAAGCACTGACAGAAGTACTCAAGGACTCGGTAACAGTGAAGAAATGCAACTCTATCTAGTATCTAATGCACCGTTGAATAAGGCCTCTGGGCATCTAGTTTTGTTACAGAAGTAGAAGAGAGGAATCATTCTGTGTTACTGGCCAAGTGCGATTACATATAAGTTCGATGCAACGTAACTGAGGCTTCACGTTACAACATTATTGAAGGTGGACATCGATCCATATATATAAAGCTATGGCTTTGAGCTAAGCTTACTGAAAGCTGCACCAGTTCTATCCTCCCCAGCCAATCTGTGTTGCTCTTCATAGAAATCTAAGATCTCCATTGATATGTTTTTCACCTGCCAATACCCAAGCCAAATCATCCTCTCATAGTTACAAAGACACAATCACTGAATGAAGATCTCCTTGCAGCAACACGGGATGATGATGCCTGGAGATTCAAAGATTGTTAGGCTTTAGATAACTCACCACGTTCATATCAGCTCGAAGCTCCTCAAACCAGGCTGTTACATCTTTTTCTCTATACACGCTGGCGATGTAAATGCAAGCCAAGGCAATCAGATGAGGTGGGTGCATAAGTATCAGGTCCATCTTGTAGGTGTCATTCACGAGTCCCCTACACCAAAATTATTAGAGAAAAGCCTTATGGTTCATAATGAATCGATCTTTTCAGTGTTAACAATCAAAACCATCATCCATTCTAAACAATAAGCTAGAACATGGTATTCTGTTGCTTTTTTGTACTAATGCTTTATAAGCTCTGTTGCTTCTCACTTAAACTCTCCAATCATGCATGGCCCTGATGAAGACCTGAATCCCGAGGTTGCATAGTGAACCAGAAATGATTTCGTTAAGTGAAGAAAATCAGCTGAATCACTCAGATGGGAAAGAGATTAGTTGACATACCAAACATTCTCAGCAGATAAGGCGAAGGGGCCAAAAAAACACAAAACACGCAAGCTAAATAACCTACTGTAACAAGGGCCCAGAAAAAACTAAAGAAACGAAGGTTGTCCAAAGTTGGGTCCTTACCACGACAACTGAATCATATTGACATCATGGACGCCAGCATCTTGCAAGAACCTGCCAGCATACATGGGAAACATGATCCAAAAATAAGGCAAAAGAAGGGAAAAACACACAAACACCTGCCACTCTAAAGACAGCTTCAGTAATTGAGATGTAGAGTGCAAGGAATACAGACTGATCAAACTACTAAAAATGAATTACAAAATAGAATACTGCTTCCAATGTTTGAGTAACAATTTTTAATATGCCTATAAGCGGATGGCAGGGAAGCTAGACATAATCATCACTTCAGTGTGGGGAAAAAGAAGTCTCAAGAATTGCATTCCAGGAGCTACTTAACTACTACAATAAACACCAGTTTCCCTTTTTTGAACTAATACCACCTAAACCTTAAATAGGTTCCCCATTCAGTTTTATATCTAATTTGTTTAACTTTGAAACCACATTTGGAAAGTCAATTAAGCATTAATCGATATTTACAATGATTACGTGCAAAACCTATATTTCTCTTAAGTCTAAGGCCAAGGAACATAGAACACGGATAAAACCAGTGGCACTTAGAAGCACATCAAGCTTTGGTCTTTCGAACTTCTTGTCACTTTTTGGCTTCTGCTGAGCTTATATATACCGCAACTACAGGGGATACAAACTACAGGAAGATAAATGAGAAGCTTGGTAAGAAGGATGAAATGAGAACTCACTGAGACAATGAGCGATATGGATGGAAGACTACTAAGTAGTAGTTAAGAGCTTCCAAAATCTTCATTTCCATCTCGAGTATGTCTTTGATTTCAAACTTAAACTTGTCATCATCTGTAATACACAGTAAGGTGATTAAAATGTTTGCCACAATATGTTAACAGCCAAACTTAAAGCGGAGAAAGACTTAATCTTCCATTGTCATGAACCAAGTACTAACTGCTATATAATTTCTTTATGTAAAACACAAGCGCTCGGGCTTGCACTGTGCTCTCTTCCGCTTTCGATGCCAAATACAAGCAGGTTGGAGCAACAAGCCGTGGATCATACTCTGACATACTCTTTCTGAAGCAAAAAAGGTACTAAAATCAATACAAGCCAACAGAAAACACCTAATGGACGAAAAAACCACATAAACATATGAGCTCCCAGTCCTGATCCTAAGATCATTAAAAAAATATTGCATACCTGATATAGACCCGTCTCATGTAAGTAATTGCAGTGGCAACAACCCTGGATGGGTGAACAACAAATTAGGCATGAAACTTGGCAAAAGAAGGTTCATGAAAGTAAAAGAGCGCCACTGACTTCTATAGCACAGATGATAAATCAGTTATTGTAATGATGTCCATGATGAACAAATAACCAAACTGAAGTACATAACAAATAATTCAGACAGGACTCTCAAAGTTGTAATACACAGGCATAGTTGTGTAAACTATCAGAAGAAAAATGCCGAACCTTTGCCTTACTTTAACGGACTGAGCCAATTTTGCTATATCTGGGAAAGAAAAGCAGACAATAAATCAACAAAAGGATTTGGGATGAAAAATGCAAATCCAGCATCTGAGTGATGCCCTGCCTAATCTTCAGCTGAACAATCAGCCTTAAAGAGAGCTATACATATCAGAAATGCGGCTGAACAGTCGGTTGAAATCATTCCAGTACTATAGAATCAGAGTATCATGAATTTCAGATGCTCCAACTCATAAATGTTTCACCACAGTAGGCTATGGAAGGAATTTCAGCAATCCTTTATAAACTGAAACCACGGAGCATGACAGAAAGATTCCCAACCAAGAAAAGGAGTTGCAACAGGACATCAAAATGTTCGGGGTTGAATCACTTTATGCAGAATCCATTACGAAAATTAGTAATTGAACACCGATAACAAAAGCTGCTAACAAAACCTAATATGCATCACTAACTCTTCCCATACATAAATGTGAGACCATCACATTACATATCAGCAATGCAGCTGAACAGTAAGATGAAATCATTCCAAGACTAGAATCAAAGCATCAGAATTTCAGATTCCCCTAGTTATAAATGTTCACCACAGTAGGCTATGGAAGGAACTTCAGTAATCCGTTATCAACTGAAAGCATGGAGAACTAGAGAAAAATTCCCGACCTAGGGAAGGAAATATTAGGGGTTGAATCCCTTTAAGCAGAATCCAGTAAGACCATCACTAACACCAACAACAGAAAATGATAACAAAACCTGAGGAGCCCAAATCACATAACCTCACAAACAGCCTTGAATTCAGAGAAAGCGCACAAATTTCTCAGGACGTAACAAAAGGAGAGTTGTACACAGCTCAAGAAATCATACAATTGGCCATCTGCATCTTAATGAGCTTGAAATCTTCAAGCGTGATGCCTCTGTCTTTGTCCAGTTGCTGAACCACATCGACGTCTTCCGGGTCCATAAGCTGCCGACTGAGATTTTGAGGGAAACGGCAAGGAAATAGCAGAAAGCAAACCAAATAATCTGATCAAGACAACACAACGCGAACAGAACCCAGGAACAAACAGTAGGAAATCAATCCACGGGGCAAGGAACTTACAAGTGAGAAGAGGTCCAGAAATTCGAAGACATTCTTTAACGGGGCAGCAGGAAGTTGCTAATCACTGCAGTTTTCTTCCCTAAGTCTGGTACGAAGCTTTGCCCCAGGGACGGAGAAGGAAGCGACTTTCCCTTCCCTCTCGCTCTTTCTCTCTCTCTCGCTCTCGGTCGTCCGTTCGGGTTAAACCGGAAAGTATAGTTGTTGTTGTTTTTTTTTAATATTTTCGTATGGTCTGACCTTTGACCAAAATAAACATCCTCACCAATCTTTTCTATCTATAACATCCTCACCCGAACTATACACCAAAATAAACAATTTGGCCAAACCTGATGTTTGACCGTTAACTTGGACGGTCAAACACGTTGACAAACGGTCAATGCGCCACGTCACTGCCACGTCACCACCAACCGAAAAACATTATTGAACAGTTACACCAGGAACTCAGAAATTAAATTAAGGACAACAACCCAGTCACTGGGGAGAGAGTGATTAAGGAGCGATTTGGCCACCCAGTCCGCTCTGGTATTGAGCGAACGTACGATGAATCTCACTTTGATCAACGGGCAGCTGGAGAGGATTCCAGGCATGACACTCGGCAGAGCAGAACATCTCCACAGCCAGACCAGGAGAGGATTCTGAAGAGCTGTTACCAAAGTGAGGCAATCCAAACACACCGTAATCGGGCAATGTAATCCTTGAGCTAATTTGAGAGCTTCCAGTAGAGCCTTCGCTTCTGCTTCGATTGGAGATGCGCAAAGAAGAGTCCTAGCTCTCCCATCACAAACTTGACCATGGCTGTTGATGATGATCACGCCATAAGGCGCCTCCTGGGAATCATTTCAAAACGATCCATCACAGTGAATCTCATAAGAGAGATTGCTCGGCGGTAGTGCAAGCTGATTTTGGGTATGATTGAGCTGGGGGTGAGAGGCCGGTGATCTCGCAACAGGGGCCTTGCAAGAGATCCATTCATTAAGATCTCCTATCGCCTTGGAGCAAGTCAGGGGCGGCCACGGAAGAGCATTTTGGAAAACCTTTTCATTCCGTGTCTTCCAGATGTTCCACATAGTGAAAATGACTTGAAGGATGGACTGGTACGGGACATTATCCTTCAGAAATAAGAGCCACGTGAGAATGTTGACCGTGATCGGCGGCGTGCTCATGATCGGGAATAAATGATTCTAGGACTCTTTAGCATGGTGACACTCAAAGAGGCAATGGTGGATGGATTTCAAAGGTGCATTACAGATCGGACAAGCTATGGATGGAGAGCATCTTCGATCATGCAAACGGCTTTTTGTAGCCAACGCCTTCTTTGCAACTTTCCACACAAAAAACTTCAGCTTCGGAGGGAGCATGATGCTCCAAACCCATTTCCATCTCGCTTTGTCAAGTGTGGAAGTAGCCTGGAAACCTTGATCTCGTGTCCTTCTGTTGTCATAGAAAGCATGGTAGGCTGACGAAATAGAGAAATCACCTTTCTTGGTGAACTTCCACGCCCAGAAATCCTCAGCCCCTTGACTTCCAATTGGCACATTCTTGATGTCCTGGATTCGGTGGGGAGGAGCTTTGAGTAACAATGCTTGATCATTCCAAGTTCGGTCTTCTTGATTGATGAATTCGGCCAAAAGTTCTTGTTGCTCAACCGTACCATTCAACTTCCCCTCAGGCGTGTTCGGCAACCACTAGTCGTGGAAGAATTTTGTCGATTCCCCATTTCCAATGACTTGAACAATGCCACAATCCATCATGGTTTTTGCTTCCCAGAAACTAGCCCACAACCAAGAAGGACGACTCCCTTTTCGTGCCTGCAAAAACTCAGAGTTAGGGAAGTATAATCCTTTGATGAGTTTTGCCCAAAGGGCATTAGGAGAAGATAGCAGACGCCATGCTTGCTTGGCTAAAAAGGCAAGATTGAACTCCCAGAAAGATCTGAAGCCAACTCTCCTTCTTCCTTAGGGGCACATAACACCTTGGCATCACACCAGTGTATTGCTCTCTTTTGCATAGACCCCGACCAAAAAAACCTGCGGAGAATGGAGTCCATTTTCTTTGTAATTGAGATGGGAAGGAGGAAGAGGCTCATAATGTAGGTCGGAATGGCTTGGATGACCGATTTGAGAAGAATCTCTTTCCCTTCTGGAGACAGCAGGAGGCTTTTCCACGATTCTCCCTTCTTTTCCATCCTTGAAACCAGGAAGTAGAAAGTCTCTTTCTTGGACCTTCCCCATTCTGTAGGCAGTCCCAGGTAGCTCTTGTGGCAACTCGAAGCTGCAAAACCCAGGTTCTGCGTGATAAGATCCTTTGTCTCATCCTCCACGATGCAGCTAAAGAAAATTGATGATTTATGGTTGTTAACTTCTTATCCTGTAATACTGTTGTAGTCTGACATAATGTTGTGAATGTTAGTTGCTTCTTCCAGTGATGCACGGCCGAAAATAACTGTATCATCAGCAAACATGCAATGGGTGAGAAGCGGGCAATGTCTATTCAGTTTTATCCCCCTGAAACAATTAGTCCTAGCAGCTTTATCAATCAAGAACGTAAGAGAATTATAGAGGAGAATAAACAAGAGTGGAGAAAGAGGGTCTCCCTATCTGATTCTCCTCGAAGGGTTGAAAAACTCCGTTGCTTCTCCATTGAAGAGGATCAAGAAATTGACCGTCCTCACACACTCGTTGATCCATCCAATCCACTTCTGATCAAAACCCTACATCCTAAGAATTTTATCCAAGCAATCCCAATCTACCAGATCGTAAGCTTTTCTCATGTCCAGTTTCAACATCATGTCCCGTAGATTTCCTGTCTTGTTCTTCTTGAAATGGTTTAGAACCTCGTGAACAATGACAATATTATCCTGAATCTGTCTTCCCCCGGTGAATGCAGTTTGAAGCTCAGAAACCAGATCCGGCAGCCAGCTCTGCAGTCTAGTGGTCATGATCTTGGTTACAACCTTGTAGCGGAAGTTGCTACAGCTAATTGGCCGGAATTGGTCAATACTTTCCGGGCCATTCACTTTGGGAACAAGGGAGATGTGAGTATCATTCCATCCTTCAGGGAGGATGCCAGTCTCAAAGAAGGACTTGATCTCGCCACAAAACTTATCTTCAATCATGTGCCAAAACTTCCTGAAAAAAGAAATCGGGGAAACCATCCGGACCCGGGGCCTTGGATGGACCAAGCGCGAACACCGCTTTCCTAATCTGCTCATTGCTCATAGCAGCACAGAGCTGAGAATTCATATTAGGTGACACCAATTGAGGGAAATCCAGCAGTAAATGGTCAATCTGAAGAGGGGACCTAGCCTGAAAAAGGTTAACATAGTAATCAATGGCTAAATTCTTCAGCTGGGGCTCATTGTTAATCCAGTTCCCCTCATTGTCTTTCAATTTGAGGATCCTATTAGAGTGGTGTCTTTGGATTGTGCTGGCATGAAAAAAGGAAGAGTTTTGATCTCCTTTTTTAAGCCATCCAACCCGAGACCTTTGAGCCCAAAAAACTTCCTCCATTCTCCACATTTCAGCTAGCTCTCTAGTAAGAGCTTTTTCCTCATCAACAATCTCTTGGTTTCTATTCGGTCCCTGCAAATCATGTAGTCTTTTTTAATTTCATCCTCTCTTTTCCTCTTTCCAATTCTGTCTTCTTTTGCCCAATTCTGTATTTCCACTTTACATTGCTTAAGGCTCACAATAGAGCTCCCTGCAGTCTCAAGAATCTTCTTGATGATGTTGCAGCATTCATCATTATCTTTCCATCTTTTATCAAACCTGAATTGGGCATCCCTCCGATTGTTGTTGAAATTAATGTCCACTCTAATTGGACAATGATCAGATTCAATCATTTCTTCATGGAACACAACAACCTTCTCAAATTCCCCCCGCCAAGAAACTAAACAAAGTGCTCTGTCCAACCTTTCACTTATGAGATTATGGCCTTGTTGCTTGTTAGGCCATGTGAACCTTTGCCCTTTGAAGCCGAGGTCCATCAGAGCGTTATTGGAGATGAAGTACTTGAACGGGGTAACATTTTCATTACGTAAGGGACACCTCCCTTCCTTCTCGTGATCGTAGAGTACCACGTTCAAGTCCCCTACAACAAGCCATTTATCATCGGTACTACTACGAAATGAGCTCATATGCTCCCAAAAAACCCTTCTTTCCAACGCAGTGGTCGGGGCATGAACAAACGAACAAAAGAAACTAGTACTACCATAACTAATACACACATCCATAAAATTAGGATTGGAATCTAAAATTTGGATCGAGATTCCAGCCTTCCACCAAATGGCTAAACCGCTGCCACCTTGACTAGGATTAACATACTCCGCATGATTGAAATGCATCTGCTTCCTCTTCTCCTCCATGAAGCTTTTTTCATTCTTGGTCTCCATGAGGAACAAAATAGAGGGGCCAATAGACCTGCAAAATCTCCTGCAGTAACTCCTTGTAAGGGGTTGGCCAAACCCCCTACAGTTCCAGGATATGATTCTCATTCCCGAATCGGTGGCATGAGGCGATCCACCGGTGCCTGAGATTGGGAACCAGATTCCCCTGTTTCCTAAGTGTCTATGTAATATCTTGAGGATATCTTCTTCTTTCCTATTGTCTTCCTGATTCTTGCCTCTGATGAACCTGGGCTGAAGGACAAGATTCTGTTACAATCTGAAAAGTTGGTATCCTTGGATGGGCTGGATCCCAAATTAAGTAGCCAATCTGGCTTTCTTTTCTTTTCAGCTCTGCCAAGGGCCCTCTCATAATTCAATTGGGCCTCCTGGACCAGAGAAAGTTTGTGTTGCTCCTTTCCTTCTCCATCAGTCATTGGGCTTAAGCCTCCATGCCCACTTAGTGCACTAGGCGTTGTGTTGCGGCCCGTAGGGTTTGCCTCTTCATTGAGATCAAGGGAATGGTGGAGTAGCAGGTGAGGATTCCTTGTGAGCAGACAAGCGAGCCGTTGGAGTTGAGTTTCCCAGGCATGTGGGGGACCTTGCACTTTCTCTCTCCATCAGGGCATCCTCCGTCTCCCTTTGCCCGCGTACCTTATGGAGGAAAGACTCCGGTGGTGATGCTGCTAGTGAGTCAATTCCAACCTTGAGCGCCGAGGTGTACATTCCCGACGGCTCGATGTTTCCCCCTTTCCTCCTGTTCTCCTCTCTCTCTCGGCAGCCCTGAATCAGATGTCTGATTATGCCGCATAAATAACACAGCTCCGAGACCTTCTCATACTTGAAGCTGATCCACATCAGCTTCCTTCCCAATGGGTATTCGAACCCAGTCGGTATTGGTTCCTTGAGGTCGACTTCCACCAGAACACGGGTGAATCTCATCCAGCCAGCTGCCTCAAGGCTTGTTGTGTCGACTCTGTGCACTTTGGGGAAGACGAAACCAGCAATAGTGTCGATGTCCTGTGCTCCCTTTAGTGCTTCCGGGAGATCATGGAATTGAACCCATAGGGTGACCGATGGGAATTCAACTTCTTCCGGTTTGGTCTCTCCATCCCACTTCTGGAATGCCAGCAGTGTGTTAGCCAGACTCCATGGGAGAGAGTTCCAAATCGCCTCCCTGCCAGCAGCTGAGTTGAAAGAGCAAACGAAGAGGTTTTTCCCTTCCCTTCTGACAGTGATTTCTCCCTGTCCCCTCCATTTGTTTTGCGTCGCGTTGATTGCCTTCCCCAACGATGTGTTGTTGTCAGTTAGCCACTTGGTGATGAGCACCGTGTTCTCCCTTCCTCAAGATCCTGCTCCTTGAGGTTGGAAATTGATGACCAGATGGCCTTTCTCTGCTTGATTGTTTGCTTGAACGAGCTCCATTGTGAGATTGGGGGTTTTTTGTTTTTGAAACGCAGAAATAGTTCTTGGGGAGGCAAAGATTATCTCTGCAGTAATGGTGAGAAGAGGTGAAGGTTGAGGGTATTTGCTGGTTGTGTAATATAGGCTTCCGATTTGCAGTTGGGCAAGTGTAGCAGTATCCATTCTTTCCCAATTTAATTCTGGGTGATTGACTTGATCTGTCTTTGATAAAATCTTGAGGATCCATTTTGTACTGAAGCTTTCCTTTTTGTGTGGCTCGATAATCCAGTCTCCTTTCACATTTATGCCATATTTGATGTATGCTGCAGGGCTCCCTGCTGATGTAGATAAGGAGAAGAGGAATAAATGTCTTCTGACTTTGATCCAGGGAGGAGGTTTCCAGAGAATGTGTTCTGTAGACCAACTGGGGGCAGAAAGATTTACCGTCTCCAGGGGAACAAGATATCTAAATGGTAGAGAGCATGGCTTCTCCTTAACTTCTCTGACTTCAAACCTATCCTTCAACGAAGTTGGATTCTGATTAGATACAAGTTGCTCATCTCTGGGGGGTGTGAGCAGTGGTTCATCTCCAAAGACTTCTTTAAGGCAGGGGACTGGTGCATCTGTTTTCTGCAGATATGACATGAGTTCATTGAATGCTTCCCCTTGGGTAGCTGGAGATATTGTGTTGATTTCATTGAATGCTTCCCAATGGGTAGCTGTAAAAGTTGTGTGGAGTTGAGAGGTTTTGAAATGTAGTGAGAGAGTAGAGAGATAGTTGTTGTTGTTGTTTTTTTTTCAATATTTTCGTATGGCCTGAACTTTGACCAAAATAAACATCCTGGCCAATATTTTCGATCTATAACATCCTGGCCCGAACTATACACCAAAATAAACAATTTGGCTAAACCCGATGTTTGACCGTTAACTTGGACGGTCAAACGCGTTGACTAACGGTCAACGCGCCACGTCACTGCCAAGTCAGAAGATCTGATAAATATTTAATTTTTTCGTTTTTTATTTTTGGTTTAACTAAGGTATTAGATGACTTTTTTAATTTATAATAATTTAAAATTAGGAAATGTGTGGAAAATGTGAATTATTTTAAATATTTTATGCTGACTTGGCAGTGACATGGTGCGTTGACTAACGGTCAATGCATTTGACCGTCCAAGTTAACGGCCAAAAGTCGGATCTAGACAAATTGTTTATTTTGGTGTATAGTTCGAGCCAGGATGTTATAGATCGAAAAGATTGGCCATGATGTTTATTTTGGTCAAATTTCAGGCCTTACGAAAAATATTAACCTTTTTTTTTTTTTGAAAACCGACCGGAAAGTATAGTTCAGTTAGGGTGTGCAACATCAAACCGTGAGAACCGTTATCTAACAGTAAAAGAAATATTATGATCAAGATCCATTCAAAAAAAATATTAGGATCAAGATTCAAAAACCAGATAATATTTGGTTTGATGTCGATCAATGCAATTGTTGGTTTGATTCCTTCCGGACTAAATAATTGCACACCCCTAGTTACAACTTACTATGCAAATGGAGCAACCAAAAGACAAACTAAAAGTTGGTCAGTTCAATTCTTTGGTATTGAGTTGAAGTAAAATAAAATGTACGTGAAAGGAAAATAAAATGGTTGGCTCTTATATAACACTCTTTATTTTACTCCTTTTCTAGCTAGCAATACCAAGGACCACTCAACATCGTCAAGGTAGATAAACTCCATATCATGAGTTTGTGAGGCTGCCAAAATAAGTATTGATTCTTTGCCCATTAACTTTAAAGGTAGTGCCATAAAGATTTAATTAGTCCATTGCACGGTAAGGATAGACTTGTTGAATAGTGTAAGGCCTTGCCCATCTAGACTAGTTTTCCAAGGAATATCTTCAAATGATAACTGTAGAGCAAAACTTAATCTCTTCTATGAAAGATATTTTTGTTCATTCTTTAGTAGGGATGATAATCAAACCAGCAATCGCAGGTATCCGATCATCCGCGATCCAGTCAAATTGGAGAATTCTTGCATTGGTTGGATATGGGTAAAATCTACAAAAGTTTGATGGGGATAGCGATGGTTTGGTTTTAGCCTCCCTGCCCCGCCCCACACTCATACTCATACCCACCCCACCAAAATTATTTCTTCGTACATTATAAATATAGTGATCATATTGTAACCTCTTCAGGAAGGATGATTAAAAAGAGTTCAAATATAATTGAGTGGCCACAGAAACCAAACACTAATTTCTTTTCCTCAGTTATCCATTGACTCTTTCTCTTCTTTCCCTTTGTTAACAAGGTTTTGTTAGTTATTTATTTCTTAGTAGACGTGTCGGAGACAAAGATGAATGGTTTTGGATAGTATTTTACCTTATATTATTGATCAATGGATATTTAAAGAATGAATTCTTATTGAGAATGGATGTAACTTTGCTGATTTCATGATTTATTAGGTCCATTTGGTGTTATAATTGATGATCTACATGTTGAAGTATAGATATGATAATATTGGATATACGGGTATTACCCATGGGTACCCAAAACTTTTGGGTATGAAGATGGAGTTGCAAAATCTCCTCTCTCATGGTATGAGGTGAGTTCAGGTTTGGATATTTGGAAATGGTGATGAAGATGGTTTAAAGAAATTTATTTGTCCCAAACCCGCCCCATTTTCGTCGAGGAACGTGCTGAATGTGTTGTTGATACAACTGAGCATTCTCATATGCATGGAATCTGAACTATTCAATTTCAAGAAGTTGGTCTCTTCATTTTTTCTAGCTCCATTGAAAAATAGCATGCCCTCTCATAGACCATCGAATAGGTAGAAGTTCATATGGGATCTTTATATGCTGTTCGATATGCCCATAAGCTTCATTAAGTTTGATCGACCAACTCTGCGAGATCGATCCACTATCTTCTGCAATATTTCCTTGAACTCTTTGTTTGAGATCTCGACTTGTCAACTTATTTGCGGGTGATAAGAGGTGGACAATCGATGATTGATTCCAAATCAACCACATACATGATCTAACTGTCCATGGAAGTCTTTCCCTCAATCACTGATAATGGAATTAGGCTTGCCAAAACGAGAAAACTGTCTCTTAAATTTTTTTTCCCATTGCCCTCTCATTGTTTGTAGGGAGAGTTTGAGCTTCTGCCCATTTAGAGATTATTTCATCTTTGCTTGATCCACCTCGAGCCCTTTCTTAGAGATTTTGTATTCCAAAACAATTCTTTTTGTTACCATGAAGCAACTTCCCCCCCCCCCCAGCTTTGAGCTAGGTGAGTTCCTTCACAACAGACAATAACTTTCTCTAGATTTTCCTGGCACTTGGAGAAAAATTCTTCATAGACGGAAAGGTCGTCCACAATTACTTCGAGTACTTCCTCCAATATGTCTCCAAAATATTGTTGTCATTATGCTTTTGAGATGTGGCTAGTGCATTGCATTTGCTAAAGAAGATTCGCCGAGAGATAAAAGTGTCATGTGGACATGTGAGTATGTAATCTTTCCTTTATCTAAAAAATTGATGAGGATCTATAAGTATTTATATATTCCTTCGGGGAAGCAGTAGTATTCTGTCCCGGGATGGGATACGGTGACAACCCCTTAAGGGGGTTGTCAGATTCACAACCCACTTCATAGCCCTTGGATATGCTCTCTCTCCTGTCTCTTTCTTCTTTTTCTAAATTAACGGTTAAGATTAAAGGAAGGGTATTTTTGGAAGGGTAAAAATTTACCACACCCAATCATTCACCCTACCATATAAAAAGAAAAAAAACCCCTAACTCCTCCATCCTCCCTCTCTCTTCCCTCTCTCCCGTAGCCATCACCGTCTCTCCTCCCTCTCTCTCGCAGAGCCCTCCGCCGCCACAACCCTCCACCGTCGGCGTCGGCGCCGCTGTCTCCAGCAGCCGCCTGTCGAGCCTTCCACCGTCGTCGTCTCCGCCATTCTCAGCCTCCCTCCACACCCTGTTGTTCCAAATCTCTCCCGCCGGCCCGTCGCAACGTCAGCCTCCCACCACCGCGGCACAATCATCCTCTCCCCGTCGGAGCCCTCTCGCCGCCCTTCGTCCCCCACCACTGCCATCGTCGCGAGGTCGCCCTCTTCCCCTACCTCTCTCTCCCGTCACCGACTCCCCTTTTCTAGATCTGGTTTTTTAGTGGTACCATTTTTCTTCTGGTAGCGTACCAGTGATAGTGGTACCTACCACTACCATAAGGTAGCTGGTAGTGGTAGCGTACCACTATCATCTGGTACCACTATCATCTGTTTTTTTTTTGTGTTATTCTCTACTGGTACCGCTACCAATGCTAGTGGTACGATACAATATGGTAGTGGTAGCGCTGTAATGGTAGCGTACCACTAGCACTGGTACATTTTTAACGCACTGGTAGCGTACCACTAGCACTGGTATATTAATTACCAGTAGACTAATGGATTGGTACACTTTTTAACGCACTGGTACATTTTTCAGGTTGCCGGAGGGAGTCTGCCGGAGAGAATTCACCGGAGAAAAAGTCTGTCCGTCGATGCAGAGTGGCCGCTGGAGAAAGGAAGAGAGAGAGATAGATAGAGATATTAATGTATAGGATTTAAATTTCAAAAAAAATTGTATTTAATATGGGTTTTTAATTCCCAATATAATTAATACAAAAAAGTAATTAATATATTCCTTTTTTCATACCCAAAATATCCTTGGTTGTGAATTTGACAACTCCTTAGAAGTTGTCACCGTATCCCGTCCTTTCTGTCCCGCGAATCCTTGCAGGATAAATGAAAGTGATCCTAATGCATTTATGCATTGTAGGCCGCTGACCACTTTTATTAGTATTATTATTAGAGTCTTTTGGTTATTTAGTGAAATATTATTGTGGTTATTTTTTATTATTTGGGATACTCGTATTAGTTCATGTTTAGGATTATAATTAATTATTGAGTCTTGCCTAGGAAGTTATCGTTTACGTATTGGTTTAGGATTTGATTAGCTTGTCTTTAGGGAAAAGGGTTTGTGAGACTAGTTCTATAAATATGTGCCTTCACTCTATTTTTGTATTCATGAATGAGAAGTCAAGTAATTTATAAAAATTAGCTATAGTTTTACAACATTTCCTTAGTTATTCGTAGTTGATCTATTTGCAAAACTACACCTCTTTTTCTTCTCCTCCACCAATATCATCTAGTTCTCTCACACTAACCACCATCAACTATAATAAATTCACATCAATGTATTAATTATCATTGATTCACCACCTCTTAACATTAACCTTGATAAATTGGAACCTTAACCTTGAAAATTATCATTGTAAGTGTTATGTGCTTTTATGTTATTCATGATTTTCCTTACTAATATTATCCCGTCTTCATTTTTATATGGATCTTAAAATCCTACGATTTTACGATTCCGATTTTACCCACATTTTCAATTTTACACAAAATCCCGATTTTGACTGCTTTGGAGGGAATGACAGATCGGTATAACCTTTGAGCAGATCCGACACAAGATCTAGGCTCTGTGCCACGCCTCTATGTTCCATATCCAGGCTGACAATCATCTACTCAACCGCTCACAACCCTTTTCGTCACCTCCCTCCGCCTCAAGTGCGCCTCCCATCGTCAATGTAGTTTACGGTAGTGATTTTGTATGGTGATTATAGGTTTACGTAGTGATTTGGGAAGATATATGCCCCTGGATGAGAAAGAGATAAAGGCATGGGAAGGCAAGTATAGATTTTAATAATAGTGGTTTTTGTTTAGTATTAGGATTTTGCTCATGTATAGTAGTAATTATTCATCTTTTAGTAGTGATTTTTTTACCTGTGTTAGTAGTGATTTGACTATTTGGGTAGTCATTTTTTTCCCTGTTTTTTCTGTTTGTAGTATGTTTTATAATATGTGGTAGTGATTCTTATTAAAAATTGGGGTTCGCTACAAATTAACAATAATTTAAAAAAACTAGTTACATGAAAATCTCTATGACTGTCCAAAAACACTATTATCAGCCTCTAAACCGATTATTGATTTAAATAGCAACGAATTTGTTAGTAATTTTTCTGGTAGAAAATGACTAATAAACAGAGGAGAGATAAAAAGAGATTTTATATTTTTATTTATGTATTAGAATGTGGAATACTAAACAAGTCCTTCATTACTAGCTATCGTCAAATTCAACTTAAAAGAATGAACGGTGATTAGAGTAGTTAGTACGGTGCTAACTATTATAAAGTTAGCACTCTAACCTCTCCCTTTTCTAAGCTGGCACGGTTTATCAACAAACGAGCTCCTTTGGACACTCCAACTCCACTCGACCTCTTCGAAAATGGCAAGAAGGTCAACCACTTCCATCTTTATGTATGGGTGGAGAATTTAACAAAGGCGAGTACAAGAACAGAACAAGACAAGCACGAACCTGAATGGAATGCGAAGATAAAAAAAAATGGAGGTAGCTAACAGAGCAGGAGAATCAAAATCAGAATTGATTTGACCATTGGAGTCAACTCTCAACGTTTGAAGAAGGAGGAAGCCAATATTGTCAAAGTGCATCGTTTTATTCCAAAGTGATGCGTTCCACATTTCATCTCTGTCTATTGTTTCCTTCTCTGCCAAGGATATGTTTGTTTCCTTTCTAAGCTAAAGAACACAACAAATGTACAAGTTGTTCTATGTTGTCCTGTTGTGATGTAAACAGACTATTTAAGCATCTTCTCAATGAGAAACAAGCCAAGCCTTCTAGGGTTTCAAACCTTCTTTCTACTTCTTTGTTATGGTATCAGAGCCCTAAAAAAGCTCTGTTGTCGCCGCCACCATGACTGATCAAACTCAAGACCATACCACTGAAACACAACCCACAGATCATCGACAGAATGCCACTACCAGCTCAGATTCGCCGCTTGGAACTCATTACCAGCTGGAGGATCCTTTCTATCTCCACGGATCTGAGCAGCCTGGTCTTCTGTTGGTTGCTGAAAAACTCAACACCACTAATTACAACGACTGGAGCCGAGGTATGCTCAATGCCTTGGCTGCTAAGAACAAGCTGGGATTTATCCATGGTTCTATCCTTGAACCTGGAGACTCAGACCCACTTAGAGGCATTTGGATGCGAACCAACGTCATGATATTAAGCTGGATACAGCAAGCTGTTGAGCCAGAGATAAGAAAAACTATCCTGTCCAGCAAGACTGCTTTTGAAGCTTGGAGAAGCCTGCAATCCCGATATGGTGCTGGTGACATCATTCGCGTTGCAGAGATTGAGGAAGCCCTTTCCAACCTGAAACAAGGTAACGACACCATCACTGAGTATTATGGTCGAGTCATCACTCTCAAGGATGAGCTCGATAATTACCAACCACTTCTTGCTTGTGATTGTACACCTACAAGTCATAGAGATTGCAGAGCTATGAAGAGAGTTTATGAATATCATGACACTAATTATGTTATCAAGTTCTTGCGTGGTTTGAATGAAAATTTCTCAACGGTTAGATCACAAGTTTTATTTGGGGATTAGTTACCCACTATCAACTGTGTCTTTCAACGGATGCTTCAACACGAAAGACAGCTCTATGGTACTCAAAGGGGCAAAACTGTTGGCTCTGTTGCAGCTTATACCAAATCATTTGCCAATTCAGGTAAATATCTTCTATCAGTACCTCTACATTGCAAAGACCCCAAACTTCACACCACCTGGATTGTTGATACAGGCGCCTCTGATCATATTGTTTGTTCTTTGGATTTGTTACAAAATTACAAGCCAATCACAGACATTTTTATCACCTTCCCTACTGGTCAACAACTCCAAGCCGCTCACATTGGCACTACTACTTTCAATGAGACCCTCATTCTCAAAGATGTCCTCTTTGTTCCACATTTTACTTTCAATTTAATTTCTGTCAGCAAGCTCACCACAACCAATTCTCTATGCTTAACTTTCTACTCTGACTTTTGTCTTATACAGGACTTGAGGCTGAAGAGCATGAGTGGTTCTGCTAGACTGTCTAATGGACTTTACCTCTTAGATCTAGACTCTAATCCTAAACTCATCACTGCTGCTAGGGCAACTTCTTTTGATTTATGACACTTCAGGTTGGGTCATGTTTCCCATTCCAAAGTGCCATTCCTCTCTCAATTTTGCACCTCCATTGAAACTCATCGAGATAGACCCTGTGATGTTTGTCACTTTGCTAAGCAAAGGAGACTTTCTTTTCCTGTTAGCCAATCTGTAACAACTAAACCATTTGAACTACTTCATGTGGATATTTGGGGCCCTAACCCAGTTCCTTCCTTTGATGGCTACAAATATTTTTTGACAATTGTTGATGATTATTCTCGTGTTACATGGATTATTCTGTCCTCTCTTATGCTAATTTGGCTCCCCACCACAGAATTTTTTTGCTCAATATATCTTCTTATGTGGAACCAAATACATACAAAGAGGCATCCCTCTCTGATGAGTAGAATGCTGCTATGCAACTTGAAACTCAAGCATTGATTAAAAACCATACTTGGGACATTGTGGAACTGCCCCCAGGGAAGAAACCCATTGGTAATAAGTGGGTTTATAAGGTTAAATTTCAACCTACTGGTCTTCTAGATCGTTTCAAAGCAAGGTTGGTTGCCAAAGGCAACACTCAGCAAAAGGGGATTGATTTTCAGGACACTTTTGCCCTTGTTATTTAACTGACCACTGTCAGGACTTTTTTGGCTGTTGCAGCCCTCAGAAACTGGCATATTCACCATTTAGATGTGAATAATGCATTTTTACATGGGGATTTGGACGAAGAGGTCTATATGACTCTGCCTAAGGGATACACTCCACCTCCTGGTTTCAAAAACCCAGTTTGTCGCCTAAGGAAATCAATCTATGGCCTGAAACAGGCCTCCAGGCAATGGTTTTCCAAGTTACATGATCATCTCACTATTGAGGGTTATATCCAAAGCAAGGCTGATCACTCTTTGTTTTTTAGAGTGACTGAAACTTCTTATACTGCCATTTTGATCTATGTTGATGACCTACTGGTGGGTGGAAATGATTTAACAAAAATCAAACGATTAAAGGCTTCTCTTCATTCAGCTTTTAGCATCAAAGACCTGGGTTCTTTACGCTATTTTCTGGGCATTGAAGTTGCCAGAAATGCCACTGGAATCCATCTTTCCCAAAGGAAATATACGTTGGAGATAATTGAAGAAGCTCATTTGCTGGATTCCAAAACAGTTTCAACCCCAATGGATTACAAGCTACACCTCAGTTCAGAATGTTTAACCCCATTTCATGATCCTGAGCTTTACAGAACATTGGTTGGTAAATTGATCTACTTGACAACTACCAGGCCTGACATTTCCTATGCTACACAGCAAGTAAGCCAGTTCATGTCCAGTCCTAGTACAGTTCACTATAAAGCAGTAGAAAGGATATTGCGTTACCTGAAATCAGCTCCAACGACTGGTCTCTTCTTTCCCAACAAGGGTTCTTTCCAATTGAAAGGCTTCGCCGACTCGGACTGGGCGGCGTGTGTGGATTCTCGTCGATCCATCTCTGGTTACTGCATTTCTCTTGGTGACTCGATTATCTCCTGGAAATGCAAGAAACAGAAGATTGTTTCCCTATCTTCTTGCGAGGTGGAATATCGAGCACTCGCTTTTACAGCCTGCGAAATCCAATGGTTGCTCTTTCTTCTTGACAACTTCCAGGTTCCTCACTCCCAACACGCTACTCTCTACTACGATAACCAGAGTGCGATTTACATCGCTCAAAACCCTACTTTTCATGAGCGCACCAAGCACATCGAACTCGATTGTCACTTGGTGCGCGAGAAGATACTCAACAAGACCCTCAAGCTTCTTCACGTTTCATCTTCCCACCAGCTCGCTGACCTTTTTACAAAACCCCTCTCTCCAGCTCCCTTCGCCTTCTTCTCTCCAAGCTTGGTGTGCACAATCTGTGCCCACCAGCTTGCGGGGGGATGACAGAGCAGGAGAATCAATATCAGAATTGATTTTGACCATTGGAGTCAACTCTCAACGTTTGAAGAAGGAGGAAGCCAATATTGTCAGAGTGCACTGTTTTATTCCAAAGTGATGCGTTCCACATTTCATCTCTGTCTATTGTTTCCTTCTCTGCCAAGGATTGTTTGTCTCCTTTCTAAGCTAAAGAACACAGCAAATGTACAAGTTGTTCTATGTTTCATGTTGTGATGTAAACAGACTATTTAAGCATCTTCTCAATGAGAAACAAGCCAAGCCTTCTAGGGTTTCAAACCTTCTTTCTACTTCTTTGTTAGTAGCTGCCGACCCAAGTGTCGACTCAAGCATCGCCATAGAAAGAGGTTACAAGCCAAAAGGGCTATGGCAAAAATTTCGGTTGGTGACAAGTCATCAACTGTTAAGCAGGTCGTTAATGTTGTTGTGGCGACTTTCTTTCCTTCTAAGGCTGGTTCTCGTAGACGTGCGCGAGGATAATGAGAGATTTGGTTTACGGTGGAATGACTACTCTTCGAAGCAAGGCATGGCCCCAGGGAACTTGGAATGGGATGAATCTTTGCAGATAGGTCACTCAGGTGGGTTATCAAACCCTCTCACTATTGATCTTGAAAGGTCTAGCACTAATTGGTGAAGGATTCAGACTGTGATGATTCCATGTAATTGGAAGTATAGGAAGAAAATTGAGGAAGGAATGCACGGGAGATTTGGTGCGGAAGATGAAAATTGACGGCACTCCTACCACATGCATGGGAAGCCGGAAGAAGTTCGAGCTAGCAACGTTGGGGGGATTCGTCAGCAATGCACCAAGCGTAATTGGAAATATTGAAAGTGCAAGTTCTATCGACCATCTCTCATTGTCGTCTATCACAAGTTGTGTGGAAGATTCTTTTTCATCGATCCATGCTGACACGTCGACTGAACTTCGGGGACGAAGTTTTTCAAAGGTGGGAAGGATTGATGCATTTATGCATCGTGGGCCTCTTGCCACTTTTATTAGTATTATTATTAGAGTCTTTTTATTAATTATTGGGATATTATTGTGGTTATTTCTTATTAGCTTAGTTTGGCCCTGCTGTAGTTTTTGTAGAAGAAGCTTTTGGCTTGAGCTTTTAGATAAGTGCTTTTCAAAAAAAGCAGTTGAGTGTTTGGATGTAAAACTATTAGAAGTGTTTTTTAATATGAGAGGTTGTGTAAAATGACTATAAAGAACTTATAATATAAAATATGAATAAAAATTCTAAATAGTAAAAAGTAGTCAAAATGGATCTTGTTAGATTTCTTTTATATTAAATAATATGATTTTATAATTTATTTTATTTTTAAAATGATAGAAATGAAAGATAATTATTTTTTCTGAAATAAAATTGAAATATGGTAAGGACAATCTTGTATTTTCAAAACAGCTTTCGCAGAATCTCCAAATCGTAGCTTCTGTTTTTATGTTATACAAAAGCGCTTTTTGGCTTTTCAAAAGCCGAGCTTTTAGAGGTGTTTGGCCCTGCTTCAGCTTTTGAAGTCGAAAAGCACTTCTAAAAACCGGGCCAAACATAGGCATTATTTGGGTACTTGTATGAGTTCCAGTTTAGGATTATAATTAATTAATGAGTCTTGTCTAATAAGTTATTATAAATAGGATGATATTTACCTCAACCTAGATTGCAGGCTCTGCCTACAACCTCCCCACATGGCGCCATTTTATTGGATGATTTCCTTTTATTTTTATCTTTCTTAATTTTGCATAAAAATGGCCCATAGAAGTGGCCGTCTCACAGCAAATTGTATAATTAGTCATTAATTCATTAAATCATGTAATTAAGCTTAATTTAATTGAAAACAATAATGTATGATTTTGATTTTTCAAAATACATCCACTGCATCATTTTAGGGCATGCATGTTGAAGTGTACATAATTAGAATTTAGGATTCACTCATTAAGGGTTAGGATTTTGATTCGTTAAATTAGTCGGAGTTTGAAAAATTGTACTATATGTATATCATAAGCCCTTACATAAAAATACCGTAAGCCCTAATGAGTGAAACCAAAACCCTATTTTCTTAATAATATATGTTAAGATCAATTAATTAGAATCAATAACAAATGGTTCTTATTTGTTGAAATACAGACAACGTTAGCATTTAGGAAGAACGTTTTCCTGGAGATGCTAAGGTTGTTCTCGATAAGGTACGTGGGAGAGAAGTTTGGGATGTCAACGGTGGTAACATTCTTGAAGAAATTCAGTTGCTACGTCAGCAGTATGCTCGGTCTGAGGTGGAATTCATTGGTAGGCAAAACAATTGGGCGGCCCATTTGGTGGCTAAGAAAGTTCTTTCCTTGTTTCCTGCGGGAGTTCCGGGTTTTGATTTTCGTGGTTGGTTTCTCTCGAGTTGTAAACTCGTGTTGTTTGAACATTGTTTTTTTTTTCTTGGTAATACAAGTTAGCTTCTGGCAAAAAAAAAAACGTTTTTTCTTCTTAGTTTTGTAATACATATTTGTTGACGTATTATTAGAAAAGGTGAACAATTTACTAAAGTGATTATGCCATTTGGTGTTACTCTTCCACTTATGTTAGTCATTTTCATACGAACTTATAAAAATAAAATGAAAGGAAATCAACCAATAAATTGCCTCCGTGTTGGGAGGTTGTAGGCGCTCCCTGCAAACTAGATTGCAGGTAAATATCATCCTTATAAATATGTATCTATGTTCTACATTTTTATCTATAAATGAGAAGTAAAGCAAAAATTAGCTATAATTTGAGAGAATTGCTATTCGTAGTCCTATATTCAATATATATATTACCGCGTTTTCTTAGTTACTCGTAGTTGATCTATTTTCGAGTTCGAGACACCCGACGCATGGATTCATCAGATCCTTTCTGATTACATCATTGAGCCTTCTATAATCGGAGTTGGAAATTGGAATGATGTCTCCTTTCTCGTTTTGGTATTCCTGCCATTCCTCCTTTCTTGAATCTAACAAGGCATGGTACTTCTCTTTCGCTCAAAAGATCTATAAAAGTTTATTTGAATTGAAATTACGCCACTATATTCTATATGTACAATTAAAAAAAAAAAGCTTAAAAACCCAACATTCCCCTGCTCTCTGATCGAGTATCATCCATGGAAGAACACCACATATTTACACAGTGAAGTCACCAAAAGCGAGAAACAGACAGTTGACCTAATCTAGAATCCAGGAAAAAACACTAATCTAAATTGTTCATCTTGCGAATTCGTTTCTCCAGTCACTAACTGAAGCTGACTTCGCATGATCTCTGCCTCCTCATCCTCTGTCCCCAAGAGGTCTTGCTCTGTTTCCCCTGGCGAATGCTCTGCAACTCCTCCATCTGCGTTTCCCACCTTTGTTTCCACTCCCCTTTTGGATCCGCTCCCTGTTTCCCATCAAGAAAATGAACCACCAAAAATTCAGTCAACTTCTGTTCGACATAAAATTTCTGAGCGCAATTCCTTGAAGTTTACCTTGTGGAATTGCTTTGTAGCAGAGAAAGCCGTATGGAAGCCAGAGGCCAGCGCTCTGTCATATTGAGCTCGGCTGTCGGGATCCGACAGCGTCTCGTAAGCCTCCTGCACCTCAAGAAATCGGTTCGTGTACTCCTCAGCTCTCTCCTGCGGGGAAACGTCCGGGTGGTATTTCCGAGCAAGTTGCCTGTACGCGTGCTTGATCTCCGGCAGCGTTCCGCTCGCCGGGATCCCCAACAAATCGTAGAAGCTCTCCGTGCTGACGTACAGGCTACTCCCGGCGGTTGCGGTGGCGGTGGAAGCTGCAGCTTTGATGGGGATATTACTGGGTCTGAAGCTTCTGCTGGGACGGCGAGCTCGGAGGACGAAACGGGCTATGCTGGAAGTGAAGCCGATTGAATGTGGATCGGAAGCAGGGTGGAAGTGGGAGGCTCTTGCTGCCACGGCAGAATAGCCGCCGGCGGTTAGTTGGGTTACGGGTGAGAGAATTCCGTTACTCATTTTGCTTTCTGAGCAGCTAATTTGGCTATCGGAGTTCAAGTTGGAGATGTTGCAGGGGAAAGGAGAAAAGAGAAATTGAACAATTTATAGAGAGACGTCTAGTGCAGAAGTTACGAGGTGGGGTTTATTGGAAATTTTGTGTGTTATTTTTCAATTGGTGAGTTCATTTTTTTATATTTTAATTTTTAATTTATGTAGGATAATTAAGAACATTAAATATTAAAAAAAGAGGATTAGTCCACCAATAACAAATTGGCACGTGGATGATTGGAGCTTCTGCGTCCCACCAAGATTGGAGCTAATAATTTTCCGGGTTTATTATCATTATTATTTTTTTTTTATCTCAAATGGATTTGGGCAATCATCTTATAAATTTTATAGGTCATAATGAAGTCTTTTCATTTTTGTAAAAAAAATTATAAAATCTCGATTTAAACAAGTAATATATAAGTTGATTAACAAATTAGAGAAAATAAGAAAGTGTTTTAATCTCATTTCTTATATTTATTCTCACTTAAAAGCAAGTGTTCATATTTAATTATGCACCCTTACTCTACACCTGATACATGAATATGTTTAAGTAAGATATTGGAGATATTATGATGATACAAATTTTCAAAAGATATAGATATTACATGCCCTTCACCTATGCATTTTTATTAAATATGTCTTTCTTTTATTATTTACATCAAACATATCTATTTAGTTTAGAAAATTATCAAACATGTTCTACTATTAAAATTTCCATCCCAAAACTTCAAAAATGTTAAAGTGAAATTGTCATATTTTAGAAATTGTTTGTACTCAAATCACGATTAGTTCTTGATTGACGATTTTGGATGAAATTTTTAACAGAATGACATCTTGGTTAAGTAAAAGAGGATGTTTGATGTAAAAAATAATGGAGATATGTTTGATAAAAATATATAATAGAGAGACAAATTATAGTATAACCCCTTTTTGCAAATTATATGATGTAAAAATATCCATGTATAATATACATGATAAAATGAAATAAAACATTAAAATGCCAGATGTGGTTGCTTCTTTGATTTAAGAAATGGGGGTATTTTGCACCCAAAAAAAAAGGGGTATGTGCCTCAATTCAGCCATTCCTTTCTTGATCGCATGGCTATATTTAGAACTAAAATATATTTCCTAATCTCGTTATTCTTCATGGTTTAACGGTCAACCATCAACTTATGGAATATAATATTCGTTAGGAATGATTCATCTGAAAAGAAAAAGAACATCCTGAGGAATGTTGAGAAATATCCGCATTATGAGCACTTGATCCAATTACTTGCATTTAGTATCGGTTTATTCGATCATTAACATTAGTGATTTGCGTGCTTTGACTAGTAATAGAGAGTAATGAATGCACTGTAAGAAATATAACGAAAGGACAAGAAGTAATTTTATACTGTGGCCAAATGTTCTTTTTTTTCGTGAACTATAAGAAATTATCATTACTATTAAAAATAGTGTGTAGTAGTTTTTTATGATTAATAAAACTTCTTTAAGCATTCGAGGACCACAACAATAATATTTTTGAGAAATACTCTTGTTGGCCAAGTTTATAGACTTGAAGGCAAGGCACATCCTGAAATTTTGGAAGCCCTATTATGTAAACAAAATGTGATCCAAATTGTTTATCTTAAAAATCTAATAAAATATGAACAAAGCAACAATAAATAAATAAAAATTATCATTATTGATAATAATTATTTAATAGGATTTGAAATAAAGAGTAACAATGGTTTAAATAGAAAATATAATTAAAAAATCAATTATTTTAGACATTGAATAAAAAATCCAAATAGTAAATAAATTGACAATGAATCAATTAACTAAACTCACCTTAATAGGTTATGAGAACTTAATTCGATAGAAGATATAATTTTAGAATAATCAAGTAGTACAAACAAATAATAGAGTAAACTAAATTAGATAGAAGAAACTAATAATTTTTTAGTCTAAAATTAAACATAATGCAAACTATTTATAATTGATTTAGTTATTTTTCCTTTTTTACTATTGGTGGCTTGTACCTAATTATTTTGGTTAACGTTTAATATATCAATGCAGATTATTTAATTAATTTAGCATTATTATCTTGCTAGTACAAGCACATTAATTAATAAAATTAAATCCCTTTCCTCTTCGAAAGCGAAAGAAAGTTAAATCAACAAATTTAATAATGCTAATAATGAGGTATCAGAGGGTGAGCTTGGCTTAGGAGCGTCTTTGCCTTGGTTGTGTTGGCTTTATGTGGGTTGCTCTTCTTGAGAGATTTGCTCTTTTGGTTCCCCTGCTTCCCTTTCTTGGGGTGCAGCCTGTCCTTAGTCTTTTATTTCGTTGTATTTCGTTGTATACTTTCTTTCTATTAATAATATATCACCATTATAAAAAAAAAATTAGGCATCAACAATCTTAAATATCTTATTTTATTTAGCTAAAACACGACAAAGAATGTGTTCTGTTAGATGGTTTGAAAAAAAGTCCAATAAGAAACAAGCATTCCTCTCATGTGATCTGTTCGTTCCTTTAACCTTCAAACTTAAAATTTTAAATATTATTGTTCTAGACCCATAGTCAAAACTCAATTCATAAATTGTCTATTATTTTTAATTCATAATCGAAACCTAATAGTCCGTAATAATAATTAGTTATATACATGATGGAGGTCTGGAGGCCCGGAGGCCCCAATAATTTGGAGGCCCTATGCAGGAGGGTCTGCCAGCACACCCTTAGGGCTGACCCTGATTGAAAGCAACGTTGTCAAACCGATTTGTACCATTATGTCGGTTTGACAAGTGGTATTCGACCGTTGGTACAGTCTTTTTTCCCTCGTTGAACAAGATACCCATTTATTAAACCATGAATCGCAAAGCACGACTCATAACCTCATACAACGAAAAGGGACAACCATTGTGGTGCCCCAAAGAAGAAACTCTGGTGGTACAATCATTTAATGTCAGTTCATATCGTTTTAACAAAATATCTAGAGAAGTGCGAAACGATTAACACTTAAATGAATTTTGGCATAGGTATTTGGAAACAATCTCTCTAATACTTATATTCAGATTTAAATAAAGTACAACATTCCAAAGAAAATAAAAATAATCATATTTATATAAAGCATTTAACACTAACATCTAAAAGTTCATACTTGAATCTAACAAATAACATAAAGTTCTAAAAATTTCTACTTAAATTCAACAAATAACATCAATATTTAACTTTCAAGAAACAAATAAGAAATTATTTTTATTAATTAATTCACAAAAATGTCATTTGTTTAAAGTTCGAATATCGATCATTCCAATCATATGTACTAAGGGTATTTCAGCCAATTTTGTCACAGAGTATCTCATTGAACCCAATTGTACTGAATGACATGTCAACGCATGACAATCCTCCTTGAAAGCGATCACATGAGAATGGTAAAAACCTTGTAACAATCTAAATACTAAACCCAATAACAAGTCAGGTCTACATCCCCCAACCTTACCGCTCTCGATCGGAAGTCAACATTACCTTGAATAAATAATCAAACTCTAATTTAATTCTCGCCACAAGCTGTTGAGGAGCTACTAATCGACCTCAATACAACCTATGAAAGCTCTCTTTTCAGATGCTAGCTGCTAATAACCATATTCCATTTCACACTGCCAACAACACTAGCATCACCTGAACCATACAGGAGTCTAATAGTAGCCAAACAAAGCAACATGCTCCACGATGAGAAGAGGGAATTGACAAAGCACCTTAAAAGCAAACTGCAGAACACAAGTAGTATAGATCAGCAGCATACAAAAACAGTAATGGGTTTTCTCCCACTCCAACAACTTATCCTTAGTAACCACTCTATCTAGTATAATTAGAGGGTTACTATTTGCCGCCCGGGTAATTACTATTTGCCGCCCGTAAAAAACACTAAAAAGACAATTTTGCCCTCCAAATTTTTCTTTATATTCTATTCGCTGAAATGATTTTTTAAACACGAACACACTACCCGAGTCCCGACCACCAACTCCGCACAAACACAACAGCCAGATTCACGGCCACCGGACGGCAGCCTAAGTCGCCGGCCACCGGACCAATCTCGTTAGCATAATTCGCCGGGCACTGGACGGCAGCCGTACCTCATCGTCGGACCAGCGAAGCAGGTAAACCCCACTGACTTTCCTGGAATTTTTTGCCCGTCCGCTCGCCGTCGTTGGACCCCGTCCGCTCCCCGTCGTCGGACCCCGTCAGACGCCGGCGAGCGGACGGGGTCCGACGCCGGCGAGCGGACGGCGCCCGTCGCCGGGGACCGGATGCATCGGAATCGGCAGTGTTATATATATTTTTTAATTTGAGACAGGTTATTATTTCTAGAGCTAATTAATTATATTTAATTTATTGCTTTTATTTCTATTTTACATAGTTAAATTCATATGTAGTTTGAATTAAGAGATTGTATTTTGTTGTAGCGCTAATTAGTTTCTTACTGTCAAATTATTGTTATTTTGTAGAGTTAATTAAATTATTGCATGTTGTTTAATTTTGTAGAGTCAATTGAAGCACAATTAGTTTAATTAAGTGATTATGTTTTATTGTAGCGCTAATTAGTTTATTGTGTTTAGATATAATTCGTAGAGCTAAAGATGTTTAATAATTTATATTTAAATAATTTTCTTATTGTAAAATTATCATTATTTTTTAGAGTTAATTAAATTATTGCATTTAGTTTAATTTTGTAGAGTCAATTGAAGCACAATTAGTTTAATTAAGTGATTGTGTTTTGTTGTAGTGCAAATTAGTTTATTGTGTTTAGATTTAATTCGTAGAGCTAATTTGGTTTAATAATTTATATTTAAATTATCATTATTTTTTAGACTTAATTAAATTATTGCATTTAGTTTAATTTTGTACATTTCTAACGAGTTGTAAAATCACAATTGCAGGTGGACATGGATTACAATGTTGAACTAATTGGTGATTACACGGACAATTTTCTCAATGACGTCCGATACGACAATTTCGAAGATGCTGTAACAGTTACCAAAAACATCGCGATGTCTCTTGGTTTCTTTCTAACTAAGGGATCGATGAAGCCACGTGAGTTGAGCAACAAAAGATTATTGGGTATCTGTTATATGTATTGCGACAGATGCAGTAGGGAGAGGAAGTCATACAAGCCGGATCCTTCCAAGGAGAGTCGTGGCAATACAAGTTCAAAAGGATCGGGGTGCATGTTCAGGATTAAAATCAAAGAACTACTGGTTAATCCAGATGCTCTTGATGGACCTTCATTCTGGGAGATACAAGGAGTGACGGAGCAAGGAACCGGTTTAAGGCGAGGGTATCACAATCATGAGAAGATGCTTTATCCCGAAGGCCACAGTCAAATGAATCAATTGAGTCAGGAGGATAAAGAATCTCTGAGGCAGATGAGAGATGCTGGGGTACCTCCGTCGCAACAGAAGCAGACAATAAACAAGCAGAAGGGTGACAAAGGCCATCACACCCAAAGGCAGATGTATAACCTCGGGTCCAAGTCTAGGAAAGACGAGATGGGCGAGATGAATGCAGTGTAGTATGCGTTGCTAGCAGCTGAACGTGAGAATTATCATACCGAGGTTATGAAGGACGATGACGACGTGCTGACACATCTTTTTTTTGCCCATCCAACTTCCATCCAGATGTTGAAGGCTTGGCCGTACGTGATTCTGATCGACTCAACGTATAAGACCAATGCATATAAATGGCCGTGGGTGGAGGTCGTAGGTGCTACTCCAGTTGGGAAGAATTTCAACATCTGTTGTGCTCTCATGAAGGATGAGACAAAAGAGTCGTATCTTTGGCTGTTGCAGTGCATACAACAATTGCTCCATCCACGCGTGCCCAGTGTCATCGTCACCGACCACGAAGGTGGACTACTTGCTACGGTTCCTGTGGTCTTCCCCCGCACCCCGCATTTGCTATGTGTTTGGCACATCAACACCAATGTGCAGAAGAAGTGTTTGGAAATATTTGGGAAGGACAGGATGGATTTGGTCAACGAGGCGTACGATCAATATTGGTGTCCTATGCTTTATTCTTGGTCAGAGCAAGGTATGTTGGCCGCGTTTGGCCGCTTTAGGACAAGATGGGGCAATTACGAACCACGTCTGTTGCAATACATACAGGGAGTGTGGTGGCAACATCGAGAAAAGTGGGCTGTTTGTCATACAAAAAATGTGTTTCATCTAGGAAATACGAGCACAAACAGGGTTGATTCGTCACATTCCGCTTTGAAAACTTTCCTCCACAACTCGCGGGGATCTATGGACACTGTATGGAAAGGAAACCACCGCTACATTACTAACCAACTCGGGGAGGTTAGGATGATGTTGGAAAACTCTAGACAGAAAACCCTTTCAGCATCCGGTGGTACACCATTCACATACTTGAGAAGGAAGGTCAGCATGCAGGCAATTATATTAATGAAGGAGGCTGAAGAAGAATTGGCTGCCCGCTTGGAAAAAAATGAGAACTCCCGATGTGCATGTCATTTCTCTGTGACACACGGCTTGAGGTGTGGATGTCAAGTTATGGATGGCTGAGCGCGAGACATAGAGATATACCCCGGTGATATTCATATATATTGGCGGACACTGTCATACGAGCATCCACCCAATGCTCAGGAGTACGTTCCCCAGGAGGAGGAGGCTAAATGTCACCTTCAGGAGTTGGTTGATGAGGCTGTACGCAGAGGACCAGAGGCAACGAAAAAAGCAGCAAAAAACGTCTTTCGCGGTCTCCACCCGGCGAAAGACAACATTCACGAGCCAGAAGTGAACGAATCACGAAAGGGACGCCCAGCCAAAAAATCAACCGGAAGAACTAAAGGGTGGTGGGAAAAGATATTGCGAGGCAAGAAGAAAGACATGAAAAAGAAGTCGGGAAGCACAAAGTCGGGGTCTACAACGTCGCGCCACCTGAATGCTCCTGCCTGCCCCCGCTCCAGCTGTCGTGGCTCCAACCGACTAGGTCTCAAAGTAGGAAAGTGGTCGTAAATCCAACACTGTAGTAAAGTCAGATAACCCGCCACTCCCTTAGCCTCCGCCCGGGAGGCAATACCAAGCTGCCTGTACAGATAAGCAAGTGCTCCTGCCCCTCACGCGTACTCTCCTAGCATCTCCGGCCTCTTCACAAACAAGTTCACAATAGCAGAAACGCGGTCCTTACTCTTATCTACGAACAGTGTGGACCCAAGCAGCAAAAGAAGGTAACACTGAGCCTCCCTAGCTGGCGGACCAGACTGCTGCAAATGAGTCAAAGCTCCCACACCCAACAAACCAAATCCTCTGTACCACCTAGACAGACTAGCAACCTCGCCAACCTGCGCCTCGTACTCATCCTCGTCACGATCTAATCCCAGTAGTGCTCGGATGTCAGTCTCCAGTGAACACTTCTCCAATTGCCTCGGATCCACTACCATCGCCTCTCCATCAACCGCAAGCCCAAGAATGTGTGCCACGTCGTGAAGGAGGATCGTCATCTCTCCAAACGGCATGTGGAAGGTGTTGGTATCCGGCTGCCACCTCTCCACAAATGCCGAGATGAGAGCAGGATCCAACTCGCACTGGAAGGTGATATCAACGAGGTGAGCAAGGCCCTATGTCTCTACGGTAGACCTAGCATTATCATCTGCTATCTCATAACCGCCGAGAACGTGGTGGAGGGTCGAACTCCTGTCGTAGCAAGTGATCACCCCTCTATCAGCCTCTCCCGTGTACAGACGGTGGGCAACATGCCCAAGAAAGCTACGGAGCAAACTCGGGTCGCTCGGCCCTCCAGGACACGGTCCTCTAGGCTCCCAGGCCTCTCCCACATCAGCAGTACCACTCTGGCCCTCACCAGGCTGTGGAGCTCTATAGAAACGCCCTGCATGGTCTCTATAGATCCCAGTAACAGCATGAACCCCAGTAACGACTTGTGACGATCCGCTGGGGGCAACTCTGTCTCTGATCGGACTGACTCGTGGAATCCGATGCTCAACAGCATCCGACTCATACTCCTCCGACTCGTCGTCAATCTCGTCTGAAGGCTCAAACGGTGAAGTATGATGATCAATACTAGGACCAGCTCCACTACCAGCCCTACTAGGCAACTGAAAATCAAACTCAGGAAAACCGTCTGCCCTAAATCTCATCGGTGTCCTCTGTGGCTGTGGCTGTGGCTCATCTCTATCATTTGGGCCCCTATTTCTCGCACTAGCGCTAATGTTACGCCCATCGAATCTTCTCAATCTCTTTCCAGCTCCTCCAAAACTACGTGATCCTCCAGAATTGTCACGTGACGCCATCTCTAAACATATTCAATAATTTTCTATTAATATCTTATAATAATTATTTGTTGAGCAATTACTTGTTTTTTCATAGAATAATTATGGTACATACAATTTGGTTATCTAATTAATTTAACTAGGTAGTTATTTAACTTAATACGATAGGTAGTTATTTAAATATTTATTTCAACTTACTCAATTACTTAACTAAAACATCATAGATAATTATTTAAAATTAACAATTATTTACAATAATTATTTAATCCAATAATTATTTAGATATTTTATCTATTAGCATATTCAATAATTATCAATTAATCTGTTTTAATAAATTATTAGATTAGCAATTTCTTCATAGTCATAATTTATCAATTACTAATTATGATACATACAACTTGATTATCTAATTAATTTAACTAGATAGTTACTTTACTAAATACGATAGATAGTTATTAAAATAATTATTTCAACTTACCCAATTAATAAACTAACACATTATATAAATAATTAACAATTATTTACTAATTACTAACACATTATATGATTAATTAACAATTATATACTAATTACTAACATATTATATAATTAATTAACAATTATATACTAATTATTTCAACTTACCCGTTTAATAAACTAACACATTATATAATTAATTAACAATTATATACTAATTATTCAACTATCAATATTAAACTAATTAATATACTAACAATTGTATTTAAAATAAATGTAATAAATATTTTTTTAAACAGATCCATTCAAATCGAATCAGAAACCAGACCGGGCGGACGGGGTCCGACCAGACCGACCACGTCCGCTCCGGCCAGGCGGACCACGTCCGCTCCGGCGTGTCGGACGGCGGCGAGAAACAAATTTAAAAAAAAATTACCTGAGAGCGAGGTCGGCGGCTGCTGTGGCGTCCTTTTCGGTCGGCGGCTGCTGTGGCGTCGGCGGCGGACCTCTTCTGCTCGGTCGGCGGCGGGAGGCAGGAGGCTGCTGCTGTGGCTCGTCGGCGGTGGGAGGCAGGAGGCGGTGGGAGGCAGGAGGCGCTGCTCTTCAGCGGTGGGAGGCAGGAGGTTGGGGGTGGGGGTGGGGGTGGGGTGGGAGGGGGGAAGAGGTTGGGGGTGGGGTGGGGTGGATAGATAGGGTTAGGGGCAGGGGCAAACTAGTCTTTTTTTTCCTAACTGTGGGCGGCCAATAGTAATACGACGGGCGGCAAATAGCGATTCATTATAATTAGCCATATTAGCTTATGATTGGGAAAAACAAGCTTACCCCAACCAAAGAGTCTACCAATCAACTATAACAACATACTCACCAATAGATGGCCAAACAATTTTAACACAAAAATGAGGAACCATGGGGTGGCTCCAACACTTAGCCAAATTTTGGAACTGATGGCGAGAGTGGCGCATGATGGTATGGGGTTGTGGGCCATTCAAGGTATGGTTTTCGATAAATAGGTGGCATGGTGGGTCTCACTCTCATGCCGAATTTCTCTGCGAGAAGTTGACGCACCTTTTCCCTTAGGGAGTTGGGATCATGACCCCCCCCCCCCCCCCCCCCCCCCCCCCCCCCCCCCCCCCCCCCCGTGTTGCCTCTCTTGGATGAATGACCGAATTTGGCCAAGGAAAGGAGGTCCCCATGGTACCAACATACACCTCCATGGAATGACCAGGGGGCGTGATCAACATCGCCCCCATGAAGTTGTCAGCAGGGTCACCAAGAGTCCAAGATACCACCCCCCATGGAGTGGTCAGGGGGTATGAGGTGGTCAGGGTGGTGTAAGAGAAATTTTACAATGCTATATAGTATTGGTGCTATAGGTTTTTGCCTTTATGGTACAACTTGAAATTGTACATTTACGTTATGGTACAACTTCATATTGTACCTATACTTTTGGTACAAATTCTTTTATGGTACAACTAACTTGTACCTTTATGTGATGGTACAACTTCACGTTGTAAAGTTGTACCATAACATAATGGTACAAATTGCTTTATGGTACAACCTAAACCTATACATTTAATGTTATGGTACAACTTTAAGTTGTACGTTAAAGCACCAATGCTATATAGCATAGTAGAAGTGCTTGGTGGTGTAATACCATTAAGTAAAAATTTGCTAAGTTGGCAAAGTATGTCGCTCTCGTAGTGGTGAAGTATTTTTGCCATTTTAACTCATGTGATTCGAGTACCCACTCATATGTGGCACGTGGTCTGCCTTCATGTCGTAGCCATTTTTCTAAATAGACATGCAAAGGTACGGAGAAGATACCACGAATAGGGAGTGAGGTCTCAAGAGGGGGCCAAGACTGAAGAGGGAACTACTACCAATGTCAGAGCATAATCGGAGTAGTTGAGAGGGTAACCGTCACTCCAACAGAGTAGTTTCTCGAGGCAATTACTTCTGGTGGCTATAAATAGGAGGTGAATATGACAGAGAGCGGATTCACCAAAATCACACTAGATAACCTATTGTCAAGGTTTATCCTTACCTCTTCCTCTGCAAATGTAGTAATAGCCATAGTTGTAGTTTCAGAGCTCTCACCGAACTTCCATAGGAGTAGGCTAATTTAATGTAGAATTTGTCTCGTAATTCATCAAAACATTGAACACCCTGATGAGAAGCTACTGGGGCCAAAACAACAACATGCCCCTAAGTTGAATTTTGGTGTAAACATTGCCTATTCGATCATATGAATGAAATTGATGGGAGTATCCCTCCAAATACCCATGAATGTGATAAATGGAATCATTTTAATCCTTCTTGCTTGGAATTAGACCTCCCTCGTCATTGCCTATCTGTCATCAAAGTAGAGCATTATGGCGGTTTAATTGACGCATTGCCATCATATACCTGGAATCGATATGCATAGCCAGAATCCAGAAACTTACTTCTTGGTCTTCCGCCCCTTAAGCCTGGTTCATACGACCTCAACTCCTATAACCCACAAACCAATTGGGGCACTCCAACTTTCGATAATTCCATCGCACTCCTTCAAATCCAAAGAAGAGAAGTCGTGGTACCAGAACCCAAAAACTCCAACTCATTTTGAAATCAGTGTCGCCGAAAGATGAAATGGCATATTTGGGGGATGAGAAAAAAGTGCAAAATGGAGACCAAACTCCGCCAAGTGCCAATTTCGCGCACACCAAATCAAAGGATTCAATGGAGAACTGGGAGTTGGGGAACGAAACATACGGGGAAGGAGAGGAAGGGAATTATAGTTGTAAGGGAATTAGACGACTTGTCTAGCTACCACCATGTTATCGTAGGGGAAACAAAAAGTCACCTCAAAGCAGTCGTTGAAATCGGCGTTGAGGAAGCCAACGACTACTCTGTTTTTTGGATTCAACGGTGAAGTGGGAGTGGTGGGTCGAAAGCCGGGGGAAGGAGAGGAATGTGGAATTGGAGAAGACTTCCCTAGCCGCCACTAGTGGCGGATCTAAGGGGTGGCCACCCCGGGCCCCAGCCCAGCCCTCCTCTAGATCCAGAGTTAGTATAGTCCTTATAAATTTGTAGATTTTAGTCATTCGGTCCAGTGTTATTTTATAATATGATTGTATATAACTAAAATTAATAATTCATATGAATATATTCAAATCACTACTCTAAATTTAGCCTAGAAATTCTAGTCCTAAAGTTTTTTGGTCTAAAAAAACAATAAAACCTAAAATTCTAAAGTCTAAAGCATAAATGACTAAAAGAAATATGAGGTTTGTTCCCTTGAAAATTTACTAGAGCAGCTGGTGGATATAGGGATGGACACATAGTGTAAATTGATTAGTCAATTGATTTATCTAGTGTTGATGCTACCCGTTTCAACAGCTACCATAGAGAGAACCTTTTCAACAATGAAACATGTGAAAACTAATTTGCGCAACAAAATAAGCGATGAATTTCTCGTTGATTGCTCTAGTATTTTATTTCAAACAGAATTGGTATGGATGTAGACTTCATTATTAATGCTTTCGTTAAATTAGAAGATTGTTGTGTACAATTGACATTGTCAAAAAAATTATAATCATTATTTTTTTTTTACGATATCTACTTTTGTAATGAAATTCTGCCCAGTGTCCTATTGTATTCTTGATCCGCCGCTGGCCGCCACCGATCGTCGCTAGAGGAATTGAGAGCTCGTGGTGTTCCGCTAGGGACTAGGGTGCCCACAACCCACATAAACTCCATAAATCTACTTACGGTTTATATATTCTAGGGCTAATACCACTGGGAAACCCGAACTATTAATTTGTGTCATTTGTGTCGTAAAGTATTCGATATGACATTTGTGTCCTAAACTATTTTTCCGTTAGAATTGACTAGCGTTGACCGTTAGTTTTTAACAGAAAGTCTACTCAGCACTTATGTGGCATCTGACGTGGAACTTTTATTATTAATTTATAATTATTTTTCATATAAAAAAAGAAAATTACAAAAAGAAAAAAGAAAAACAAATATGATTTGTGGATTATTTTTTGGGACACAATTAATCATTTTCTTCCTCGATTAATCATTATCTTCTTCAATCCCAAGCTGGATTAACCCACCTCTTCCTCCGGCGACAAGAAGCTCGATACCGGCGGCGTGCTGCTCCTTGATATGGACGAGCTGGTCTAGGCGGAACTGCGAGGAAGTGAATTCGCGGCTGAGGATTGGCCGCCGCTTCCCCTCTCGGTTGGCTTCCCAGGCCCCAGCAATGGCCGCCGCTTCCCCTCTCCAAAACAGATTCGTCGCCCAAATCCTCAAGGCCTCTCGAACGCTCCCTCCCTCTCGCCATCGACCATTCTTCCCTTCTCTGTCACCGCAAAATCTAGTAAGAGAGAGAGATAGAAATATGGGTGGCGAGCTAGGCTAGTCGGATTGCGGCGGAGCTAGGCCCGTCGGTTGCGGCGGAACGGAACTAGGGATTTCAATCATCTCCGCTGCGATTTCAATTATCTCCGGCATCTCTGGGATGACAAATACGGGCATTGCGGCCTCACCAAAATCATCGTCGAATCAGACCTCTCTGCTTTTCTCAAGGTTGGACTTCGATTGGAGGTAGGCCTCGCCACGTTGTTGAAATCGATGTGAGAACAGTGAAGGGTTTTTCTCAATGGGGTGGGAATTTGATTGGGAGTGGAGGTTGAGCGATTTGGCTAGAGAGAATCGGCGGCCGGAAATTGTGTGGTGAAAGGCGGTGGTGGTCAATTGCGATTTCGATTTGGATGCGGTGGTTATGGCGGCGGCCCCTGTTCCCGGAGTGATTATTCTGGGGAGGGTTTTGGTCGGCTTGGGCGTCGGGATGGCTTCCATGACGGCGTCGCTTTATATATCGGAAGCTTCTCCGGCGAGGATCAGAGGGGCGATGGTTAGTACTAATGGGCTGCTGATCAGCGGCGGTTAGTTTGTTTCTTACCTCATCAATCTCGCCTTCACTCAGGTAAATTAAATACCACATTTGGCTTCCTTTTACTTTCTTATTTTGTGTTTGAAAATTTAATTTTCCTGTTTTTGTTCGGTCAGGCTCCAGGAACTTGGCGATGGATGCTTGGAATCGCCGGAGTTCCTGCTCTAGTTCAGTTTGTGGTCGCTTCCCGAGTCTCCAAGATGGCTTTACAGAGAGGTAAACATATCGTTAAATGTCAATCTCGTAGTTGGATGCGGTGGGCAATTGCGATTTCGATTTGGATTTGGGCGATTTGCGTGGAGACGACAATGTCAGAAGAGAGAAAGGCTAATCGGTAGAGATGATAGTGAGAAGTCTTTTTTTCAATTTTCAATTTTTAATTTCTCCATTTTATTTTTATTTAAATTTTAATTAAAAATATGAGGTGTCAATGATGTGGCATCTACGTGGCTGCCACGTGTTTGCCACGTCAGCAAAAGTCAACATCAAGTTGACCACTATCTGGTCAACCGTTATATATAACGGTCAACAAAATCGTCAGGACATAAATGACACAAAACTATAATCGATTGGGACACAAATGTCATATCGAATATTTTAGGACACAAATGATACAAAGTTAATAGTTTGGGTTTCCCAGTAGTATTAGCCCTATATTCTAATTAGTGTAAGTATGATATTGTGAGAATTTTGTTGCGTAAGTCTAGTATTTTGTGGATTTTTTTTTTTTCCAAACTGGCATTTGACGATCCCATGGGTGACCCAGCAAGCAGCAGACGACTCGCAGGGTGTAGGAAATTTTGAACCACCCATTTGACTTTTTCGGTTTAGTTCCTGTTATAATCAGGATTAATTCCCTAAATACACATAAAACTAAAACAAATTCCTAAACTACCACACTTTTAAAAAAATTTCCCAAAATACCTAAGTTTTGAGTGGTTCGAGTTTGAGAAACTCGAACTACTAACCGGTTCGAGTCTAGGAGACTCGGTCTACACGTAGATCGATGATATAAGTCTCGAACCATGTGGGGCTGAAGTGGTTCGAGTTTAGTGAACTCGAACCACTCCTTTGAAATTTCCAACCACCTTAACTTTGTGCTCGGTTATCCGATCGTAGCAAAAAAAATTTTCATTTCTCATAACTTTTCGAGGACTACAACTTTTATAATAGAAATATTGTCAGAATATATGTGAAAATTTGAAAATTAAAGTTAAAGTTACTCCCAAAACCCCTTATATTAAAAATTATTCCTATTTTGAAAATTTATTCCTAGTAAATGTTGTAGTACTCAAAAAATTATGCAAAATAAAAAAAAAACATTGCGACGTTTGGATTACGGATCCCAAAGTTATGATCATCTAAAGTTTGGCAAAATCGAAAAATTGCTCGTTTAGGGGTAACAAATGACATTTTCTTGGGTCGAATGCACAAAGAAACTTTTTTATATATAGGAAATTTCTGCCAAAAGAGCAATAGTTTTCAAAACTAGAAATTTTTGGATGGCTATCTTCCTTGAAAACGTCATTTGCTACCCATAAACGAGCAAATTTTTGAATTTGTCAAACTTTGGAGGATCATAACTTTGTGCTCCGCAATCCGAACGTCGCAAAGTTTTTTTTTTATTTTGCATAACTTTTTGAGTACTACAACATTTACTAGGAATAAATTTTCAAAATAGGAATATTTTTTAATATAAGGGGTTTTGGGAGTAACTTTAACTTTAATTTTCACATTTTCACATATATTCTGAAAATATTTCTATTATAAAAGTTGTAGTCCTCGAAAAGTTATGCGAAATGAAAAAAACGTTTGCTACGATCGGATAACCGAGCACAAAGTTAAGGTGGTTGGAAATTTCAAAGAAGTGGTTCGAGTCGAACCACTTCAGCCCCACATGGTTCGAGACTTATATCATCGATCTACGTGTAGATCGAGTCTCCTAGACTCGAACCGGTTAGTAGTTCGAGTTTCTCAAACTCGAACCACTCAAAACTTAGGTATTTTGGGAAATTTTTTTAAAAGTGTGGTAGTTTAGGAATTTGTTTTAGTTTTATATGTATTTAGGGAATTATCCCTCATAATCATAATGGATGGTCAAACCCGCTACCATGCTCATATTGATATTAACAAAAGCTTTCATATTAACATTTCACACGAATAATAATGGAACTCTCCACTCCGCACAATTAGCTCCTCTCCTCTCCTCTCACTAAACGCCTTTTCTCCATGGAGCTGCTCTCCTCTTCCTCGCGCTATCTCCTCCCAATTTCAGGTTTCCTCGTATCACTTCTCCTCCTCTACAAACTAATAATCCCCATCAGGAATCCCAAATCCAAAACACCTCCCAACTTACCGCCGGAGCCACCAGGCGGCCTCCCAATCATCGGCCACCTCCTTCACTTCGCCATCTCAAGGAAAACCCTGGCCAGAACCTTCGCTGACATGGCGGACCGCCACGGGCCGGTCTTCTCCGTCAGGCTGGGCGTCCACCGAGTCGCCGTGGTGAGTGATGCCGCAACCATCCAGGAGTGCTTCACCGCTCAGGACAGGGCTCTGGCTTCTCGGCCGAAATCCAGCCAGGCAGAGCACCTGACTTACAACTACGCCGGCTTCGCCGCAGCTCCCTACGGGTCGTACTGGAGGGACGTTCGCAAGGTCGCCGTCACGCAGCTCCTCTCCGCCCACCGGCTGAAGTCGCTCCGCCACGTTCAGGTGTCGGAGATTGGGATGTTGATGAAGGAATTGTACCTGCTCTGCCTCCAGGGAAACGACGAGCCCGAAAACAGGGGAGGTGGTTCTGTTGTTGTTGTGATCAGCGAGTTGTTTCAGCAGCTGACTTCTAACTCGATTACTCGATTGATCGCAGGTAGGATTTCCAAACTGTTCCCTTCAAAAATTGCTCCATCGAGTCAAGTAGAAAGAGAGGCTAGGATTAGTATGGACAAAATTTCAGTTATGTTCATGTTTGACTAGGTTTTTCAAAAGGCTTTTTTTTTTTCTTTCAAAAGTTAGTAGTCGAGGTTAAAATCCCGATTTAAATCCTAAAATCCTACGGTTTTACGATTTTACTTACCTGTTTCGATTCTGAATTCACTATAAAATTTATTGACCTTAAAATCCTACACTATTCACGATTTAAATCTTTAAAATCCTACGAATTTACGATTCAAATCTTTGGGGCAATTTTACCTTTTTCCACCATGATTTGGAAAAATACGCCTCTTTTCCTTCTCCTCCACCAACATGATCTAGTTCTCATACACTAACCAACATCGACCATCATCAATTACTATCAACATATTCATCATCATCAATTCATCACTTTCCAACATTATCATTGATAAATCAAAACATTAACCTTGAGAAATTATCATTGTAATTGTTATGTGTTGTTGTGTTATTCATGAGTTTCCTTATAAATATGACTTCATCTTTAATTTATACGGACCTTAAAATTCTACGATTTTACCACTTTTTCGATTTTACATAAAATCCCGATTTTAACTGCTATGGTCGAGAGCCAAACGAAGAATATTTGAATGCAACATGTTGCAGAGGTAGCTACAGATTTGAGGATTTCGTGGTTTTGCCACATGGAGATCTCTGTGGGCGGCTTAGGGCAACAACATGAAGTCTTTGTTATTGAAAACTTTGTAGCCGAGAAAACTCTACCATTTACGTGATGCCACGCTAGGTAGGCGCCAGTAGCCTTGCAAAATCGGATTGCATGGAAATATTTTATTGGGTCAAATACCTTTTACAAGTCCGGTTTTTAAAAAAACTGACAACTGTTTTTACAAATTACAACATGAAAATAGAAGATCCGATTTTGATGTTTTTCAAACCTATGTTGGAAGAATACGATATCATCCTCTTAACTTTTTGGGCTAATTTCACTACCACATGCCAATTATAAAAAAAAATTATTTCAATTATAAAGTCTTCAATATGATAATCCCCGTACAAAATATGATACTTTTGTGATATTTATGTTATAGCACATTTATTGACCGTTAGAGATAACAGTTGACCAGACGACGGTCAAGCATATATTGACTTTCGTTGTGTTATCCACGTGGAATCCCACAGCATTAATATAAGATTGTTATTAATTCAAAATTAAATAAGTAATAAATAAAAAACGAAAAATATCATCCCTTTAATCTCCGTCGTCCTTGCTCTTCTTCCTACCCTAGCTCAACCACTCTATCGATTCTCCGTACATCGACCCAGTGGCGGAGGCAGGATTTGAAATTACCCATGCTCTCTTTTCATAATATAAATAGATAAAAATTTAATTACCAATTATTTCATAGATAAAATTAAAACTAATTATATCCAAATAATTCATTCACATATAAAAAGTAATAGACTAATAAAATCATTGTTTTCATAAGCAACCACGACGGAATTTCATATTGTGAAAGAAATAAATTGATAGTTATAATCGACTAATAATGATATTGAACAGTTGAGGTTCCCATACAACTCCTGTATGTAGATCTACAAAACAAGAATTGATAGCTATAATCGGAAAAATGAGAAATATAAAGGGTAAAGGAGAGAAAATAATGGTTAATGGGGACAACTGTCAGATTTCTTAAGGTTGATACAGATTTTTTGGGATTGCAACTAAAGCAACATTGACATGAGTACGCTTAGGATAACAATTGGTTGCTTTATCAATAAATTGATTGTATGTGTAACTATGTTATAAGTTGCTAATCTTCTATTTGAATCTATACATGAACTATTTTCTTCTTTTCCATTATATATTCTATCTACCATTATAAAAAAAAATTCTTTAATGCAAACACCGATTAATTAGTAAGACCTCTGTTTTCAGGTAAGCGATCTTTCGATTACAGGGGTAACAATGGGGAAGACGGAGAGCGAATCGGGGAGCTGTTAAAGGAGTTTATGCGTGTATGCGGCGAGTTCGTGCCATCTGATATGCTGCCGTTTATGCGATGGACGGATTGGCTTCCTGGGCCTGTCAAATCCATGAAACGCAACGCGCTGGAATTGGACGCGGTGATGCAGAGCTGGGTTGAGGAACATAAGGTGAAGAAGATCAGGCGGCCCGCAAACAATCCGGAAGGAAGTATCAGCAACGAACATAACGATTTCACAGACGTGATGCTGTCGCAGATTGACGAGGATTTCTGCCCAGAGTATTCCCCTGAAACCGTTATCAAGGCAACCGCAATGGTATACATTCATTGTCTTCTTGTTAGTAAACGGTATATGATCCACGATTGAACATCTCCCAACAACTCGAGTTATTGGGATCAACTGGTTCTTGACATGGTATCAGATCCTTCTGTGACCGAGAGGTCTTCTCTTCGAATTCTGATGACCACCCATCTGTTTCTGTTTCTATTAAGCACATGGTGTCCGGACCTATTATTGGAATCAACTGGTTCTTGACATTCTGACTTGTATTATGTATTGGGATTGCTCTCTAATCAACCTTTCTCTTGCTTTGCTTTTACAGACTCTAATCCTAGGCAGTGCCGAGACCACCTCCGTCACCATGACATGGATCCTGTCCAACTTGCTGAACAACAGACGCGCGATGGAGCTTGCGCGACAAGAGCTGGACAACAAGGTTGGCAGAGCTCGGCTAGTCGAGCCCTCGGACATTGACAAGCTCGTCTACGTTCAAGCCATCGTCAAGGAAACGCTCCGGCTGTACCCTGCCGCGCCCGTTGGAGTCCCACACGAGGCGATCAGGGATTGCAACGTTGGCGGCTACCACGTCCCCAAGGGCACCCATGTGTTCACCAACCTGTGGAAATTGCACAGGGACCCAAACGTGTGGTCCGACCCAGATGAGTTCAAGCCGGAGAGGTTTATTGTTGCCGACGGCGGCGGCGGCGACGACGAGAGTTCCAGTGTGGATGTTAATAATTACCACAATAGTTCGTTTGGGCAAAACAATTTCCGGTTCATGCCATTTGGGGCGGGGAGAAGGTCGTGTCCAGGGATGGGGTTGGCGCTTCAAGTTCTGAATCTGACACTAGCGAGGTTGCTTCAGGGTTTTACCATTACTACTCCGGCGGGGGAGGAGGAGGCGGTGGACATGGGAGAAGGATTGGGGTTTACTTTACCTAAAGCCACTCCGCTCAAGGTTCGGATTGCTCCTCGCCTCCTTCCCCGACTTTATGAATCGTAAGATTGTTGGATCTTCACCTTCAATAACCTATCATTGGTGGAGCTTACATGATGGTATCAAGTTTTCATGTTGTTTTAAGTAACTATTCACACAAAATTATGGCTCGTTTGGTTTTGGTGATAGTTAAATTAGCGTATTGTCATAATGCATGCATAAGAATAATATACATGTATATAAGAAAATTGGTGTATCGTAAGTTTACATTGTTTGGTTTCTGTGATAGTTATTGTAGTATTTAAATAAATTATATCACTTTTTGGGTGAAATATCACTTTTACCCTTTGCTTTTAATATAAAAAAGCAACACACATAAAAAGGTAGGGACATATTTGGAAGAAGAAGAAGAAGAAGAAGAAAACACAACTATCACCATCAAACAATATCAACGAAAACTTGAGATTTAACTACCACTCATTTTGAGTGATAGTTTGTGTCAAATCAAGCAAACAATGCATATATTGTTTGCGCAGAAAATTAAAAAAAAATGATGCAATTGTGGACATTGCATGCATTGTAACTATCCCAACCAAACTATCACCAAAACCAAACGACCCCTATATTGTGAGAAAGTTGTTAAAAGACTCATTTTCTCTCTATTGTTCTCCGATCATTTATCGGATTGTCAGAGGGAGGATACTCTTCTTCTTGGAAAGATCCTTCCGGAATAGCTGCTTGATTAATAACGTAATCACTTCTATTGTATACGTGAGATCATACAACAATTTGACATATACTCTTATCAAGAAATGGTCAAGAAGCATGATGATGGATCTACGAGACATCTCAAGAAATGGGGGAGTAATGAAAACCAACTTTTTCTTAGATATCTGCCGATTAAATGGTTGGATGTAGTAATAATAAGATAGAAGATAGGTGATGAAACAGTCAATGTTATCCAACCGACGCCTTCCTCGGACCCGAAGCCAGAAAAATCAAACGAAGAGGCCGTACTCCGTAGCTAATTTGTCTTTCCTCATGTGGTTCTGATTACTCTTAAGCCACAGTAAACGTCAAGCCTACTACGCACTCAGTCTCTCCTGCTTCACCAAATCCCAGAGGAGCTCCAATTCGCCACTCAGTCAGCCGTTTCTCTCCATAAACAAACGGAAAAAACCATGGAGCTGCTCTTCTCAGCACTAATAACAACAACAATAGCCCTGTTCTTGTTTCTCACGTTCGGTCCACGTCCCCTCAACAGAACCAAGTCATCATCACCACCACCACCGCTGCCGCCAGAGCCATCAGGCGGCTTCCCAATCGTAGGCCATCTCCTCCAATTCATCTCTTCAAAGCAAACCATGGCCCGCGACTTTGCCGACATGGCCGACCGCCACGGTCCCATCTTCACGATCCGGCTCGGCGTCCACCGATGCGTTGTAGTAAGCGATCCCAAGACGGTTCAGGAGTGCTTTACGGCCAACGACAGGGCTTTAGCCTCTCGCCCCTGGTCGAGCCAGGCCGAATTCCTCAACTACCGCAGCGCCGGGTTCGCCGCAGCGCCTTACGGGACCTACTGGCGCGACATTCGGAAGCTCGCCGTGACCCAGCTCCTTTCCAGCCACCGGCTGAAATCTCTGGCGCACATCCAGGTGTCGGAGATCAACATGTTGGTACGAGAATTGCATCGAATGTGCCGCGGCGGCGGCGGCGTCGTGGCGATGAGCGAGGTGATTGAGCAGATGGGTTCGAACATGATTACGAGGTTGATTGCAGGGAAGAGGTGTTTCAATTACAGGGCGGCAGGGGATGGTGGCGGTGATGGTCACGTGGAAGGAGAGCGAATCGGGCGGCTGATGAGGGATTTCATGCGTGTGTGCGGGGAATTCGTGCCGTCGGATATTGTGCCGTTGTTGGGATGGATGAATTGGATGCCTGGTGGGGTTTTGAAATCGATGCAGCGGATTGGAAAGGAATTGGACGTGGTGATGCAGAGCTGGATTGAGGAGCATAAACAGAGGAGGAGAGACGATGAGGAGGAGGAGCAGGGTGATTTCATCGACGTGATGTTGTCGGCGATTGGCGATGATTTCGCCGAGGAGTACTCGCCGGAGACAATCGTGAAGGCAACTGCACTGGTAAGCTCACTCTTCACCTCCCTCGGATACTGCCATTAGCTCTCTGTTATTAACCAACATGTTGACTAAAAACCCGCCAACGTTCTGTTTTTTTTTTTTAATTCATTTCTATCACACGATGCAGACGCTCATCTTAGCAGGTGCCGACACCACATCCATCACTATAATCTGGATCCTCTCCAACTTGCTAAACAACAGGAACACGTTGGAGCTTGCTCAGCAAGAACTGGACGTGAAAGTTGGCAAAACTCGCTGGATGGAGCACTCCGACGTTAGTAACCTCGTCTACCTCCAAGCCATTGTCAAAGAAACCTTGCGCTTGTATCCGCCCGCCCCAACAGCGATCCCGCACCAAGCAACGCAGGATTGCACCATCCACGGCTACCGTGTCCCCAAGGGCACAAGAGTGTTTGCGAATTTGTGGAAGCTGCATCGAGATCCAAATGTGTGGTCGGATCCTGATGAGTTCAGGCCAGAGAGGTTTCTTGTGGATCAACTGCACGGGCGTGATAGCAATTTGATCGATGGATTGTCTGCCAAGAATTTTGAGTTGGTCCCGTTTGGATCAGGGCGAAGGTCGTGCCCAGGAGAAGCTTTTGCTTTACAGATTGTGCACCTCGCCATTGGAAGGTTGTTGCAAGGTTTTGACATTACTAACGTGAGTGATGTCGGTGACGATGAACCGGTTGATATGGCTGAAGGGCAAGGCTTGACCATGCCTAAAGCAACTCCATTGGAAGTTAAAATGGTGCCTCGCCTCTCTCTTCACCTCTATGAAGTTTGCTAGACTTGTAATATATGGTAATGAATGTAATGCATAATACTCATTTCTTGATTATCATGTTGGTAAAAGACAATACTAATATTATATTTTGATAAACTCAATAAAAAGAATTATATAGCAACGGCTATTATTTATCCAGCGTATAATATATGCATGCATTGCATACCTATTAGATGTACTTTAACGTGATTCGACGAATCAGGATCGTTGTTTATTATGAATTTCAAAATTGATCTTATGTTTTCGGTTTAGACAATGAGGCTCTAGGGTTTACCCATTAGAGGTTAGAGTATGTTATAATGTTCCGTACACTGATTAATTCATGGTCTCAATAGTGAAACTCCTAAGGATAGTATGTATGGTATAATATTGGATTTTGTCGAGTGTCGAGAGGGGGTGAAACCCACAGTATGTGCCTTGTAGCTCTCTACCCTACACTCCACTCTTCCATTGTCGGCATCCAGTCGGCGGTGCGTCCATTCCTGTTTAAGTTTTCACGGTGACGCATTCTGCAACTGGAAAACCGCGAAAGGTGTTTTCTGCTATGAAGTTAATCATGAAGTATCTTCACAATTAGTCGAATGACCAATTTATCAATGATAGTTTAGTTCTGTACATAAAAAAAAGCTTGATTTGCAACATAAGTGACAAATAAATTTTACAAACCATTTAAAACATGAAAAATCATCGTGGTTTGGTGTTAAAAAACTAAAATTGTAAACCTTATCAATTAAAGTTTTATTTATTTTATTTTATTTTTATTTTTGAATTGTTATAGCCATGAATTTGGAGTTATGCGCATACACATTTGCAAATTAAAATACCTAAACTTAAAAATCCGTAGATTTCATACCTTTTTTTGCATATAAGTCCACAAAATTAAATTTTTTGTGTATTACATTTTCATATATAAAATTTTAACTTTTACAAACAGGTACAGTTTTTGTATTTGTATGAGTAGTTAAAAACAAGCTCAAGTAAATGGGTATGAGTAGTATTCATACCCAACTCATGCCCATTTAGAGTATGGAAGCATATCCATACCCACTTCAAACCCATATATACTTCACTCATACCCTACTCACAATCAATGGGTAACTTGGGTGTGGGTAAACTTAACCATTAGTGGACAATTGCCAATCTACGAGCCATCTGTGTTTCTCTTCTAATTGGATTCAAATAGTGGATCCTATTTTACATTACCTTCCCTAATTTTGGTTTCAACTTATAGATTGTTTTTCGAATATAGAATTTTAGAAGTGTCAACTTCAACTCAATCTATCCAATAAAAATCCAACTGAGTCCATTTAAATGCAACCAATTTAATCCAAATTCAACTGAATTGGAGAATTTATGGATCACTGTAAAATTACAGTCAATACTTATTTTTTTACATTCTACATATTGACTCATTAATATATTCGTTGATCTATTCATACAATACATATACATTAGAAGTGCACGTGCTATGAATATGCTTAACGCATATTGTGAATAACCATTTAACATGTATGAATAAGTTTAACACATGTTATGAATCCCCCAAGGGTTGTTTGGAAGTTGTGATTTCAAATGTTGTATTCGGTTAATTCATGTATTTGTGAGATTAAGTCGTTTTTTTGGTTGATATTGAACTAGAATACATGCATTAACTTTTCCGAGGCCCCACCACAATCACTCGTAATTGAGGGATTATCGATTTCTGCTTTTTGTTGAGATTCTTCAAAATCATTCAAAATTGACTTTTGTGGCTTTAGAACAAACCACAATCTAAACCTCCAAACAAGATATATTCCTAATACATCAATTGATTCAATACATTAAATGATAATACACTAATTGACTCAATACATCAATTTGAAGAATCACAACTTTCAAACGACCCCTTACGGGATCTCTTGAGTGAATATATGTGTTAGCCATACAAACAATTACAAATTGAATGTCCTAAAAGTAAATGATTGTTTCAGTTGTACTATCACTAGTCTTCATTATTAAGATCTAAAGTTTGATCTCTTAAGCAGCACCTAATTAAAAATCATGACAAAGTATAAATTGGCAGAAGCTGGTGACGTGAGAGCAAACCCAGTATGACTAGGGATGGCAACAAAACCCGAACCCACGGGTACCCACCCGATCCAACCCGGTCAACGCGGGTAAAATTCGTGTTGACGGGTTTTGGGCCGGGTTTGGGTTTAAACCCGTTCACTATTCACCGGGTTGGGTTTAGGTAAACCTAATCCATGGGTACCCACCCACATCCATATAATTAATTTTCTTAGTATATTTAATATTCTAAACAACTAATCTTATTTATGTTTGTGGAGACATGTCTAATTTTTTATGTAATTAAGAAAATTGGTGCATTGATATATATTCTTTAATTCTTCTAACAATTATTGTACTGTTTAAATAAATTATATTATCTTTTTGGGAGTAGTATAATTTTTGCCTGTTGCTTGTAATATAAAAACCAAAATATAAAAAGTTAGGCATATATTTGGAAACAAAAAATAAACACAAAGATCTCACTCAAACTATCTCAACAATCTCATCTAAACGATGAGGTTTAACTATTTTATTGTTAATGATAATTTGTGTTGCACCAAACAAATAATGTTTATATTGTTTACGCATAAAATGGAAAGAAACGATACATTACAGAAAATAAAGCATTACAAGAACATTGAAAACAAAATTCAAATTTGTCAGATTGAAACTTTGGACGCCTCCTAGTTTGAACATTGAAAGTGTGGTAAACTTTAAATTCGTCGTCTTGTGTTCCCTGAGGGTTTGGTAATTTGATTCCGAGGCGACTAATTGTCTTTGTTTAATGCAGATTTTGTCATTCGTGTATCTTGAGATGCTCCATATACTGGTGTGCTGGCTGCTGCGTGCAATAACAGCTACTGAATTTCATGCAAAAAAAAATTAAAAAGTCGAGTTAAGTAATTGTCAGGATATAGACAATAATACAACGTCTCACCAACTCTGTTTGTCATTTCCTTCTCTTTCTTTTTCTCGTCAAGCAAATCAACTCTTAACAAAGGGACTGGGCAAAAGTCCTTTCCGATAGTCTTGCTAGACGACACTACACACTAGTAGGAAAAGCCGCCGCTCCTACCCATCGTCGCCGCCCCAACTGACTGGCCGCCAACCATGCCTCGGATGTCGGACACTCGGACCCAGAAATTTTACAACGATAAATAAGGCTTAATTGCAAGTTTGGTCACTCGAATTGCTACAAAATTTCATGTTTGGTCACTCGAATTGATTTATTCCATTCGTAGTCACTTAAATTAGTTGAACAGTCCAACTTTGGTCACTCTCCGTTAACCTCCGTCAGTTAACTGCTGACGTGGCTAACAGAGGTGCTTAGTCATCCTATTTGAACCAAAAAAAAAATATATGCCACATCATTAACCCCTCCATATTTTAAAAGTCCACCCAAACCCAATCAACCTCTGACCCGAACTCCTGAACCAACCCATTCACCTGTTCCCCCTCTCCTCCCCCCTCTTCTTCCCCAGCTCCGACCCCATTCAATCTCCCAAACCCTATTATTGACCGCCTAATTTTCACCGATGCTTCAGGGTGTTCCCCAATGGCCGATCTTTGGGCGGCCACATGAAATCCCACATGGCCAAACTCCGTCTCCCACCCATATCTTCCTCTGCCACCACTTGCCGCTGCCGCCCTCGCCCCGATGACGACGAATCGTCGTCTTTTTTCTCCTATTCCTCTTCAGGGGAAGAAGATGATGAGCTGGAAGTGGAGCAGGAAATCGTCAAGAGCAGAGCGGTGGCAGAATTTGGGGGATTTGGCGATGCTGTTTACGGGTTGAGGGAGAACCCGAGGAAGAGTTTCCGGGTTGCGGATCCCGAGTTCTCCTTTGCGGGTCGTCCTCCGTCGTGCAGGAAAGGGAGAGCGAGACCGAGTCGAGGAACCCGACCCGGAGGTGATCCAAGCGGACCCGGAAGTCGGGCGGAGATGAGAAGAAGGGATTTGGTGAGAATCAGCGTTGGATTTTCAATTCGCCGCCGGCGGCGACAGAGCAAGAGCCGGTGAGTTCGGTCTCCTATACTTCCCCTGAAGAAGATGTGGCGATGTGCCTGGTGATGCTGTCGAGGGATGTGAACTGGAAGGGAAGATTCAGTTACAAAAGCGATGAAATTGAAGAGGAAGATGAAGAGGAAGAGGCGGAGAATGGAGGAGAAATCAAGAGGAGGGCGGAAATCGAGGAGGAAGATCAAGGGATCATGGAAAGGGGAAGCAGAATTCGCGGGAAGAAGTTGAAGTGCGAGAAATGCACGAAACAGTTCCGATCGTCACAGGCATTGGGATCCCACCGCCGGATTTGCTCAACGGAACCCATTGCCAGAGTTCGGGGAGGAGAGGGGGAACAGGTGAATGGGTTGGTTCAGGGGTTCGGTTCGGGTCAGGGGTTGATTGGGTTTGGGTGGACTTTTAAAATATGGAGGGGTTAATGATGTGGCATGTTTTTTTTTTTGTTAAAATAGGATGACTAAGCACCTCTGTTAGCTACGTCAGCAGTTAACTGACGGTACTAACGGAGTTTGACGGAGGTTAACGGAGAGTGGCCAAAGTTGGACTGTTCAACTAATTTAAGTGACTACGAATGGAATAAATCAATTCGAGTGACCAACACATGAAATTTTGTAGCAATTCGAGTGACCAAACTTGCAATTAAGCCCGATAAATAATATGGGTGAAATTGGTTTTATGTTTATGATACAACTTGAATTATATTTTTAATGATATAGTATAACTTTATATTGTATCTGTACTCTTTTGTTTAAATTTTTTTATTGTACAACTTGAACTTGTATGTTTATGTTATGATACAACTTCAAGCTGTACCTACCATAATATAAGAGTACAAATTCATTTATTGTACAATCTAAACTTGTACATTTAACGTTATGATACAGTTTCAAATTGTACATTAAATCACCAATGATTTATAGCATAGTAGAAGTGTTCTTCTAAAAAATTATGATTGTCCTACTCGTAAGGATGCGCTGACAGTTTATTCAATTTTTATTTGAAGTTTAAATATTTGTATTTCCACAAAACTTTATAAACAAATCGTCTTTTATTTAATAGGATTAGTTTAGATATATTTTGTACATGTTATTTGTAACATTTTTTAACTATAGATAATCACCATATACAATGATACTATATTGATTCGGATAGATTGTACACTTTTATACTCCTTACCTTGTGTCGTTTGACTCGTTTTACACCATCATTGAAACTATTTTATGCTAGGTTTGATTTTGTTTTGGCATGTTTCAAACCTTAGTAGGTAGAATGGGCAATAGGATCAAAAGTCGGACAAAAAGGATCGAAAAGTGAACCAAGAGGAGAAAAGTGCAAGGATCACGGGCGGAAAGAAATTGTCACGGGCAGCAACCATGATGTTGATGCAGAAATCGTGAAGATCACAAAGTTCACGAAGCTTTAGTGTCCCTCACGGGCATTGCAAGGATCACGGTCCCAGACCATGAAGTGTGTTAGTAAAATGACGTGTTTTGCACTAAGATCACGATTTCGTTGCACACTTAGAGAGAGCTACGATCAATGAAGAGTTGAAGGTGAATTTGACCTACCCAAGACATTTGGAGTTCTTCTTCAAACCTAGAGAGAGCTACGATCAATGAAGAGTTGAAGGTGAATTTGACCTACCCAAGACATTTGGGGGGGCAGATTTCATATCAAAATTAGCATCCATTCATCCAAGCAACTAGGAAGGTGAAGAATCAATTTCCCAATAGTTTTCTTCTAATCAAGTTGTTCTTTCTTCTCTAGTTATGGAGTAGTTCCTCTTTCTACTTAGATTATGTGAACCCTAGCCTAATATGTTGTGGATTATAGTGTGTGAACTCTTTGTGTTGATGTGTATTATTATTAATATATTGATTGAGGTATTTTGATGCAAATCGAGTATTTGTGATCGAATCCATCAATTTTGGGGCAAATTTACCTAGAATGTAGAAAATTCTCTTCTAGCCATTCGGGTCACTCCTCAATCATCGTAGAGTGTCATGAATCATTGTGATTGGTGACTTTCTGTCATTTCAAGCTAATTCCGGATAGCGTGGAATCGTTTTCCTTGGTCATCTTTTGCGGTTATGTGGTACGCCCCTCGGATTATATCGATTAAGCCGGCTAGGAGGCACTCGAATAGGGGTCCTAGAAATTTTAGATCTCATAATGGTATATGAAGTTTACCTATCGTACTAGAGTATCACATTTGCATCTCAACACGGTCTAGGGAGAATATCGTCCGAGTGAAATTTTCTCAATTGAATTCAACTTCATTTTGAATACTTGCTTGTTTACTTAATTCGCTTTAAACAACATTTTGATTGATAAATAATTTGTAGATTGTTGAAGTAAGAATATATAGAACGCCCGGATTTGATAATTGAAATACTTACTCTATAGTGCACCTGCCTATAGGTTAAACTTGATCCATTATTGAGATAAAGTAGTTGGTACTTGGTAGTGAGTCATATATTTTACTATAGGTATTATATTTTGACATTTCTTGTCAATACGATTATATTGCATAATACATAGAAACTATATTCTCATGGCATGTTGATAGCTTAGAATATATTTTGTATTAGATGAGACTCGATATAGCTATTTCTCATAAACAATCACAATTCGGTGGAAATGCTACAGCTCCTTGAGAGAGAAATAAACATTACCTACAGTAGCCCACTAAATTTAATAAATGTTAGACATAAGATAGGATGAAATTTCATCATAAGAATTATGCTTATTTCATAAAATGATTAAGATAATCACCTTCTTTCTGTATTACATTGTTCCTATTCGACTTACTATTTCCCCTTTTATCTCGATTTAGTTCTTTTTGTTTATTCAATTGTAATACCTTCACAAAACCTAGGTTGGAGCTTTTGATTATGAGTAATTGATCATCGATTAGAGACCTCGCCAGAATGCGATGTTTGTACTCTTTATATCCGATTAGTTTAATCTGGTTCTATTCTACAACGGATCCGTCATTCGGCTGACGAAGGTCTTGTGAATTCATTCATCGCGGTTAGGTCTTGAGTGACAAATTCTATCATCTCATGGACCAACTCATCGTCTACGGTGGGTCTTGTTGTCCTACCAAGTTAGATGCTTCGGAAGCTAATACGGAGAGCCTCAGGGAGAAACAAGCTCAATACAAAAAGATGTTAGAGCAACCGTCAACATTACCACATTCCAAACTGAAATACCACATGAAATGTCACATGACAAAACATAGTCACATTTTATTTTATGGTGTAATATGATTTTAGTGTTATGATTCTATAATACGCCAACTAGAAAAGAATCAAACTGTGACAGATGTAAAACGTCACACAAAGGTACTCGTGTCATCGTAGTTCCAAGCTATGGATGACATTCTCTTTCACTTTTGCGTATTATTAGAATTACAATGACCGTTTTAGAGAGTCGCAACATAATCTTAACTCATAATTCTCCCGTAGAAACTTCAGGTCTTCCTAACTCTAAAGTGTTAACTACAAGTACACATCTCAAATTTTACCATTTCCTTCTCGCTTTCTAATTTTGGTTTTCTTTCTTTCGTTCAAATACTGCAATTCCTGCATCGCTTCGCTCCTTCTAACTCGACGGCTGCCTCTCTTCCTTTATAAAACATATAATAATATTATCAGAGCGCAAACCGTCAAATTTGCCACAGACAAATTCTGCAAGTCGCACAGACGCAGAGAAAGAATGATTTTAAAAGTGAGGAGCTAGTTTGTATATATAATCATCAATCCATCGGTTCACCATTCACAACACAACACATTCTGGTTAACAGTAACAGAACCGTTACCACTCTGCTGAGAACAGAGCCAAAAAGAGAGGAGGAAAACAAAAAACAGGGGCCGCCGGACCCGACCCGACCATGGATATCATTTCCCACCTCCCCGAAATCCTCGTGGCTCTAGCCGCCGCCGCATTCATCCACTTATGGCGGCTGGGCAACAAGCGGAGGCAGCAAAACAACCCCAACCGCCGCGTCCCCGAAATCCCCGGCGCCCTGCCTCTGGTCGGCCACCTCCACCTCCTCGGCGGCAACCAGACCCTCTCCCGGAAGCTCGCCTCCTTCGCCCACAAATACGGCGACGTATTCACCATCCGCCTCGGCGCCAACTCCGCCGTCGTGGTCAGCGACTACGAGTCCATGAAAGAATGCTTCACCACCAACGACCGGATCCTCTCCTTCCGCCCGGAATCCAGCCAGGCCAAGGTCCTCGGCTACAACTACGCCGCCTTCGGGTTCGCCTCCTACGGAAGCTACTGGCGGGACATGAAGAAGATGCTTATGACCGAGCTCCTCTCCGTCCAGCGAATCAAGGCCCTCCGCCACGTCCAGATCTCCGAGGTCGATTTCCTCATCAACGACCTCTACCAGCAGAGCAACGCCGACAAAAGCCGACCGATCGCCATCAGCGAGGCCCTCCAGGGGTACGTGCTTAACATCATCACTCGCATGGTCGCCGGGAAGAGGTATTTCGACAAGACCGGCGGCGAGGACCATGCGTCCGCAGGCGGGAGGCCCATCGGTCAGGTGATGAGGGAGTTCATGCTCGTCACCGGAACCCTCGTCCCTTCCGATTTGATTCCGATTCTGGGCTGGTTCGGGTTCCAAGGGGTGGTCAAGACCATGAAGCGGGTCTCCAAGGAGCTGGACGTCATCATGGAGAGCTGGATCGACGAGCACAAGAGGAAACAATCGACCAACGGAGCCAAATCGGCCGCCATTAATCCCGATCTAATCGACGTCATGCTCTCCGAAATCAAAGAAGAAGTCGCCTACGGTCACAAGCGTGAGGACATTATCAAGGCCACCGCTATGGTAATTTTGATTTCACGGACATGAATTTCCTTACCTTAATTGATCATAAATAATTAATCTTTTTTGTCATCCTCAGTCTCTGATCGTCGCCGGCTCCGATACAACCTCGATCACGCTGACGTGGATCCTATCCAACCTGCTAAACCACAAGCGGGTGATGAAGCTGGCACAGGAAGAGATAGAAACTAAAGTAGGGACGGACCGGTGGGTCGACGATTCCGACATCGAGAAGCTGACGTATTTAGGAGCTGTGATCAAGGAGACGCTGCGGATGTACCCGCCGGGCCCACTTTCCGTGCCTCGAGAGGCGTCGGAGGACATCACCATTAAAGGGTATCACGTCCCGAAGGGCACTCGCTTCCTCGCCAACTTCTGGAAGCTGCACAGAGATCCGAAGGTCTGGTCCGACCCGGACGAATACAAACCGGAGCGGTTCCTGGCCGCCAACGCCAACATGGAGATATTCGGTCAGCAGTTCGAGTACCTCCCGTTTGGGTCCGGGAGGAGGGGATGCCCTGGGATTAATTTCGGGATGCAGGTGACGCAACTGACCTTGGCGAGGCTGCTTCAGGGTTTCGATTGGGGTACCCCAAATGATAAGCCGGTGGACATGACGGAAGGATTGGGAATCGCCCTTCCCAAGGCCAATCCTCTGGAGGTCGTCCTAACCCCACGCTTTCCTCCGCAGTTCTATAAATCTTAGATTTACCAGATTTTGAGCCAAAAAAATTGACGATGTTCTTGGAATAATAATGGTTGGGATTTTCGCATATATGCTTTCATTTATTTATTCTCTATGTACGTAGCCCGGCCGCTTATGTTATGCAAATTTATATATGTGGTTCGTGTAATAATAGTTTCTCTATGTTCTGTGTAGTGATCTCATTCATCACCAAGCTAACTATGAAACTAGTTTCTTGAGTTGGTGGTTGACTTAAAATTTATACCGGATTCAAGTATTGGGCAGATAATCTAGTATGCCTTTTGTACAACGCAAATTATATACTAGGGCTGGTCAACAGGCGGATCGGATGGATTTTGACCGAGAAATTAGTTCACCCACTATTTAATGGATTGACAACTTTACACATGCCACCTACCTATATTTAATATAAGGTTGGATTGGGTGAGTGGCGGATGGTGTTGTTGGATGTGCATTCAATCACAAGACCTTGCAAAATGTATAGTTGTTACTATTTGATTGCCAATAAATATTATGATATATCTACTATATGTTGTCTTTTGCATATATATCTAGTACAAGTAAAAGTCAAGTGCCAACTAGACAATACATTTGTCAACCTACTATCATTAACTACACATGCAACAGCAGCAAATATGCAGTATTGGTTTAGAACATAGTAGATTTTAACCACTTTTCCATGGTGTCTTTTCATCGTTGCGCATCTGTTACTATTCACATCCTATTAACATGTTCCTGAAAAAAATATAAACCAATAATTAGGTGTGCGAAAGAAACTACGTAATCATCTACAAAACACTATAAGGCAATGTCAATATAATTGATTTGCCACGTCAGCCCCTCCTGCATAACCCGCACACTACGGAGGGACCTTCCTGTAACTTCCTTAATCCTTCTTTCTCTCGCCTCTCAAACCCTCTCGGAGATCCAACCGCACCGTCCTGCATCACCGTTGCATTCTCAATCATGCTTCCGAATTAGGGGTGGGCATTGGTGCGGTCCAAACCGCTCCGTCCGCTCCAAATCGCTTGTGCGGTCAGCCCAAACCGCACCTTTAGGATTGCGGTTTCATTTGAGGTTTCATTATTAAGCGGTTCGCGGTTTTGCGGTACGAGCCGACCGAAACCGCGCGGTTGCAGTTCAAAACCGCAAACCGTTAAATCCCTACAACATCGCCCACCAACACTTCAGCGAGGATTTTCAGTTCTCACCACATCGCATGCCACGACCCGATCTCTTCTCCGCGGTGGCCGACTTACTAGAAGCCTCACCGGCGACGCCATCGCTGACGGTTCCTCTCGCTACCAATTCTCGCCTCCGTCCCGACTCTCAAGCTTCTTGTCCCTCTCAACGTCGCGCACCACCTAGAGGCGAGAGCTCTCGAGATTTCTTGATGGAGCGCACCTCGACCTATCCTATCCTCTGAGCTACGGTGCTTTGGTGAACTATCAAAAGCACTCCCCAGTCGGCCGTCGTTGGCGGCGGAGGAAGCAGTAGAATCGCTTTCGAAGATTTCCACTTCCCATCTAATCTCATCTCCATTCAGGCTCACAAGGACGAGACGATGCTTGGTGCGTTTCATTCTCTGTTATAGTAAGGGATTCTAAGATTATCTAGCTTTTCTTAGATCTGGGTTCAATTTGCTACAATTCATGATCTGTGTCTGCTTATTTCTGTCATGGGAACATTAGGTTGTGCTTCAATTTCTCGAATCTTAGAAAAATATCCAGCTGATATCAATATGTTATAGAGTCGCTGGTTTTCCCCTTTCGATGTCCAGTTCTTTAGCTTCTGAAGTGTCTGGCTGTGTGAGTTAGCTGTTGCAGGTAGCTCAAACATTAAGGGTGTTAATCAAAATTTTCCTGTTAATAGTTATATCAAGCATGTGATGTGATTCCATTTTCTCGATGGGTTGGAGAAGGGGTGTGTGCTTCTAATTAATCATCTGAACTAGCTATCTAGCAAGAAACCGATAGCTAAAGCTATTAGTCAAATTGTTCAAGAGTGCTAAAGCTGCTGCTATGGGGTGGAGATGGTAGACACTTTATTTCTAAGTATGTTCTTTCATCTGCTTATAGGGTTGTAATGAATCCGAGAAAAAAAAGATACTATTATCTGCAAAATGAAATCAAAAAGCTCGCAGGGAAAACAAGCTCAAGCATCGGTATCTAGTGAGGTGAGTTTCTTGACTATGGTTACATTTTTAGTGGACCTGCGATGCATGTTTAAGCTGGATTTGATGTGTGTTTACTTATGTGTGATGAGATGAGACAAGCAGTAGCACAAGGATCAATGTTTTTAATGGTTTTGTGTTGATGTGTGTTAGAGAGACGGACATAAGTTCCTGTTCTTGGACCTCTGTGCAGCATTCCTCGCTCAGCTCCTTATCCTTTAGTTTGCTTTGAGAAATAAAAAAAATGAAAGAATGCAGGGTTTCTTTTCTGCAAACGACTTGCCAACCAAAGGGGATGGATATCTGTGTTTGGTTGGGAGCACTAGCATTTTATTTTCTTGTTGATTAGTTCATTGCATTTGAATTAGGGGCAGTTGCCTAGCTCAGAAAAAACTGGTTTGTGATAGAATTGGACAGATTCATAAGCAAAACTTTACAAAAATAGTTTGAAACACACACAAGCGTTGCATTAGAAACCATATTACTCGATGTCTACCTTGACTCCTACAACAAGAACTGGTCTTCTTACTCATGTTCTGTTCCTTGGATGCATGGTTTCTCAATTTATTGATTGTTGTATGGTGAAAAAATTTAGTCAGCATAACACGTTAAGGGAGTGGAGGTTCACTACCTAATTTCCCATACATCCACTTGGAAGCTAAATTGTCCTAGCCTAGCCATCTTATATTTTTAAAATACCTGCAACAACAACAACCAAAACAGTGAATCTGAATTTTTGTTTAATGATCAAGTTGATGATGCCATTTTATGAATTTCAGAGCTGAGCAGGGTGTTGAAGAATATTGAGATCTCTAATGTTCCACTTCCTCGTACGAGTCCTAATGTACAGGCAAGTGCAAACACATAAGGTAATTGATCTAATTGGTTGGCAGCACTTTGCTAGACTAGAGAACCATTTTATGCTAGTAAGCAAGATTATAATAATCCCACTTAAGATATATTTGTACACTGGATCATAACGTATTTAAGCCAATCGAGTATGTGGGATAACAACTTCCATGGCTGCTGCATTTTCCTCTACTGGGTTTGTGAGTTTGGATCATAAAGCAACCTCTGATCAATTTGTACATTCTGTTTATAACTATTTTCTTTCCCATATTTGTTTCAACCTTTCATGCCGCCATTAGCCACTGCTTGATATTCCTCTCAATCCTTCTACAACTAGAATCAGTAAGAATGCACAAGAACTTGATGAAACTAACAGCTGGGTTTTCAATTTCTTGATTCCTCTCTTTCCCAAGTCAAGAACAACCAGTCAAAGTCTTGAAATCCAGAGGATTCCTTGTTTCTTGTGTCTATTGTCAAAGGGTAGACTTAACTCTTTATGCTTGTTTCCTGACATGTGTTGCAGCTGCTGCTTGTGTGTGTGCTTCAACTTCATGAGGACTGGCTTAAGGTACTGCTGCTAGAAGACGGAGAATTAGACAGTGAAATAGAACTAGGGGCCTTGCTATAGAGTTACTACTCAGCGAAAGAGAACAACTTTTTGTTCGAAAACAACTTTAGTTTGAGCAACTTCCATGAATAGTATTAAAGGATTTACATTGTTGTATTTATATCTAAATTTGGTTGTTGTATGTGGGAGGCTTGAGAACATCTTTTGTTTGTTGTTGTTCTTTTAATAGTACTCATGTGTAAACAAGTCTCGTTAGGAGTAAGCAGTTGGTTCAGCAAATTAGAGAAGAAGCCATAGTTTATTTATTCATGATTTTTGCCAGCTTGACAGAGAGCTTGATAGAGAACAGGGAGAAAGGATGCTATGATGGCCAGATGGGGTTTCACTTTTTCTTTTAATAGAACCAAACCAAATTTCATCAACAGTTGCTTCACATCTTAGTCCATTTGGAACTACCGTCTCATTATTTCTGCCGAAGCTCCATGATGAAATCGTCTTTAGATGATTGCACTTTGCGGTCGTAAATGCGGTAACGGACCAAACCGCTCCAAACCGCTAATTTATGCGGTGCGGTTAGACCGCACCAATAATTTGCGGTCTTATATGCGGGGCGATCCAATTATCTTGCGATGCGGTGCGGTTTATACCAATGCGGTGCGGAGCGGTTTGGACCGCACCAATGCCCACCCCTATTCCGAATCCCCAGCATAGGCGCCGAAAGTCTCCTTCCAAACCTCCAGTGAACTATTATTCTCGATTGTGGAACCGCCCTCGGAAGTCCCTTCCAAACCCCGCCGTCGAGCGGAGCAATTATCTTCTCTCGCACTATGCCTCTCAAAATCGGTCCCCGGAATCCTCTCCCAAATCCGACCATCGAGCAAATAATCCTTCTCCTCTCACGCTGTGCCTCCCAAACCGTCCTTGTTTCCAGTCATCTGCTACCAAAGGTACAAAACATCCTAAATCCTTTTCAAATTTGCCCCCAGTTTTCGCAAAAGGAGGCTGTCGGTTGCTAAATATTTTCTCCAATTTATGTGCGATTGAGCCCATATTTGTTAGCTTCTTCTTTTTAATTAATTTGCCAGCAGCTACCAACATACTACTACACACTGTTGATAGAAAGAGAGCTGCATCTGGGTGGTTCTATTAGCTGAGTTTGCAACTGACATCAGCATGTCTACAAATACGAACATCCAAGATGATGGTGTTGGCAGGTGATTACAATGAGGTAACCAGTGTTTGGTTGTGGAAATTTAGAGATCATAAGTTAACTATTAGTTTCAAGGAAAACTGATCTATAAGAAAGAATGGTGTTGTTGTATACCTCAAACATATGTGTTTGCTTAAACATTCTACGCAAACAGTTGACATGTTTTTCAAATAAGCTTTGTTGGGATGGATGTGTTTACTTGAATGTGACTTCGAAAACTTAAACTCATATATATTGGATGTTTGGGTTTCTTTTATCACCATTCCATGAGTTTATTTATTCATACCAACCCAATTTTCACTATTAAGATATCAATGCGTGTCCATAGTGCATAAATTCTTCATTGTTAAAGAGAAATCATTTTCTTTCGTTAGTTAAACTGAAGGTAGTATGGCCTGCACTGGGCAACCATTTGAAGTGGATTACTCGCAATACTACTATGCATTCTTCCTCATTGTTTATCCATGCGACTATTGAGCCAATTGTACAGTTGCTTGAATCTGCATATTGGTTGGTGTATGTGATGAAATTCTCAAAGGAACACTCATGATAATTACCTTTCAACATAATGGATCTTATGACCAATGCATGCCGATGGAGTGGTCGAAGTTAAGAATTCAAATTTGCTTGAGTATTTTATACTTTACTGGCCAATATAATACGACATGCACCAATTTTGTACTTTACCGGCTAACGGGCCGGGCCCAATGCTAGTCAATTATAAAACAAAGACATAACTGGTTGTTAAGTCGATTAAACAATCTAAGAAAGCCCAAACTATTCAAAAAGTGTCATTTGTGTCATAAACTATTTAATATGATAAATCTGATATAAACTATTTTTCCATTAATGTTGATCGGCGTTGACCGTTAGTATTTAACAGAAAATCTAGTGAGCATCTATGTGGTTTTGTGTCAAATTTGTCATGATTGAACAGTTTAGGACACAAATGTCACGAAACGCACATAGTTTGTGTCAAATTTGCCATATTGAATAGTTTAGAACACAAAAAACACTTTTAAAATAGTTTATGTTTCCAAGTGGAATTAACCTTATTATTAGGGTTTAACATATTTGTATGGCTTAAACTTTGCACATAATAAACATCCTAGCCAATCTTTTCGATCTATAACATCCTGGCCCAAACTATACATCAAAGTTACTAAATTGGCCAAACTCGATGTTTGACCATTATCTTTGACGGTCAAACGCGTTGACTAACGGTCAACGCGCCACGCCATTGCCAAGTCAGCACCCTTCACTTAAAAAATTATATATTTTCCACCTATTACCATTTTTATTTTTCATTTTGAACCAAAAAAATAAATAAAGAAAAAAGTTATTTTGTGTCCCCTTATATCGACCATAATTTTTTAAATATATTTTTTTTAATTCCATCATTTATTTTCATTGATTTCAAATTAATCTTCTACATAATACCCATTTTCGATTTTTTTCACAAATATAAAAAAATAAAATCAAAATTAAAAATTTTTCACCATTTATTTTCATTCATTTTGAATTAATTTTCCTCATAATATTTATCTTCAAAATTTCCAAAAATATGAACAAAGAATCAAAAAATGAAATAAAGGAAAACGTTATTTCGTGTCCCCTTTAATCTCCCATAATTTTTTAAATATTTTTTTAATTCCATCATTTATTTTCACTGATTTCAAATTAATCTTCTACATAATAACCATTTTCGATTTTTTCACAAATATAAACAAATAAAATCAAAATTAAAAAATTTCCACCATTTATTTTCACTCATTCCGAATTAATTTTCCACATAATATTTATCTTCAAATTTTCCACAAATATGAACAAAGAATCAAAAAATGAAAAAAAATTAATGAAAATGACAATTTAAAAAATTTCACCATTTATTTTCCGTAATTTCTAATTAATTTTCAACATAATACCCATTTTTAAATTTTTTATTTAAATTTTTTTATTTTTAAATAAAATATCCATTTTTATAGGTGGAAAATATATAATTTTTTAAGTGAAAGGTGTTGACGTGGCGCGTTTGACCGTCAAAGATAGCGGTCAAACATCGAGTTTGGCCAATTTAGTAACTTTGATCTATAGTGTGGGCCAGAATGTTATATATCAAAAGGATTGATCAGGATGTTTATTATGTGCAAAGTTCAGGTCATACAAATATATTTATCCTTATTATTAACAGGTTTCTTATCTTGCCTATTATATAAAATATACCAAGTGGACAGAAAGAAGTAATAAAAGAAGCATGACGCTTACTCATGATTTGGGATTTGGGAATGCTAAAGGGAGGAGGTGAATTGCATATGACACTTGATTATCTCTAGCTTCCTGACTCGTTACGGATACACCGCGAATTAATCCCGACTAGAGCCCAAGTTTTTAAATTTTAGCCGGGTGCAGCATAGGGCAAGTATTTAATTGGCAAACCCGGGCCGATCCATGTACCTCTTGTTCAATCGCTTAAGTTGTTATCTAGCTAAACAGTTTTGGGTTTAAAACTAAGAAAGCTACAAAATGAACAAACAAAGAAAGTAAATCGAGGATAATTCTACCTGAGAGAACTTCACCTGGGTATTGCTCCTCATAGTCTCATATGAAGAAGTAATGAACAAAAATCTAGTGTGAAGAATGTGTTCTTACACTATGAGGCGGGTGCAACTAGCTAGGGATAAACATTCCTAGTCGATCGATTAAAGATTGCGACACAAAGCTAGAGAACCTAGCTCTCTTAACCGATCAACCGAGGAAATCCTAACTCTCTTAGTCGACCAATTCAGGATTGTTGCATTAAGTTAGTGGACTCACTCTCTTAACCTTTCAGCTAAGGATGACAACAATAGGCTAGACGATCTAACCCCTCTAACCCGGTGGACTGTAACACCCTACCCTGTACGCTTTGCCTAATCATATTGTTCGTACAATTGTAGCGGGATTAATCTCGGGTGTTACATTAATTATCAAAATTTACCCAAATAAAATTTCGACATGAATTACTCGCGTAATGGGCTAACAGTTCTTGCAACTTATCCTGCAAAATAATTCATCACAAACATATATACTCACAACCATATGCATTGGCTTTTCTTAGCCATAGTCACACTTTTCATACTCCACAATTGCATATCATACTTATACATACCATAATCATCACAACTTTCACAGTTACACAACATATACACGTATCATCAACTTCCCACACCTGTGGATATCTCACACTACATCAGAAGCTAGTATGCACATGAAAAACGTTCTCAAAACATTTTTACAAAAAGGTGTGGATCACTGGCCAAAATCCCGAGTAGTTTTCCAAACACAGAATAGTTGAAGACCATACCTCATCCTAGCTTCAACTCTAGCTCCTCTTCCACGTAACACTTATCTACTGCTGCTGCTGATGATCTGCTTACACATAGAATAAGCAGAGAAGAAGAATAAAAGAGGGTCAGCTCATAACTGAGTGAGATAATCATAGCATCGTGAGTTCATAACAGAGCATACCCCTATCATACATCTAACAATCAAGCCAAAACACTAGGATCGGACCTCAGCCATCGTCATATCCCAATAGGAAAAAAACTCAACCACCTTGACTTATGCATATGCATCTTATCATGTTTTAATCATAGGCGCCTGGCTACTCCCATGCTAATTACTCTCCCGGGAATACGGACCAAACATCTCGTGGATGTGGTCATATCGGACCCACCATTGCCGGTGTAGTCATATCAGACCTGACACCACTCTGGGTGTGGTCATATCGAACTCAACACCACTCTGGGTGTGATCATATCTCATGATGAATCAACGGTCAACACCACATTAGGGGTGTGACATAACATATCAAAACGGAGTAATAGCATGGGGAGCCCTAATTACTATGTAATTGACCATGAGACCAAATTACTCTTACTTTATATCTTTATACATTATTCATATCTCATCTTGCTTAATCATAATTCGTTACTTACACATGTACTTGACCCGGCCACAATTGGCCAACATAGGTAAATCAGGAGTCGTATAATTGCACTTCCTCGGGATAAACCCTCGTGCAAGTCATCCTCCTTAAACATCATAACATCACCAGGGAAGTTTATTGCCCACTTGTGCATCCAAATACAACAATCATGAAAAATCATACTTAATTACCTTCTCAAACCATCATAGGACATATTTACAGTCAAGCCCACAATTTGCAACACATACGCAATCATCAGCATAAACAAGGTCCATAAGGATTAGGGCAAGACAATAATATCATACAACAATCCAGGGTTGAGCATATAGCACAAAAGATTATACACCCCTAATCATGCAATTCTAGTTCACCTAGGTCAATTCTAAGCATAAGTATAATTATCGTGATACGACAAACCCGGTATGCCGTGCTAATCCCTCACCAGTTCTGGTCGTTCAAACACCAGTTCTAGCCTCCCGTACTAAAACGTCAATTTCACGAACGAACCCCGAATTAAAATCCAAGACCGTCCTAATATCCCCTGCAGTATCCCCGTTAATATTAGTTCTAGGCTCCGGGTCAAATTATTGATAAAAACACATCAAACCCTGGTCGGAGCTAAATTCATCGATTTGGACCCCGACCTAAATAATTGCCGAAATTCAGGGATTAGAACTAGGAGATTGATTACCTCGCTTCAGGAAGCTCGTATATGAAATTTGGGCTCAATTCGGCTTCCGGATACTCCGAAACCCTAATTTAGCTTATCGGGAATTCAAGAAATTCCTGAACAAAAAACTCGTTTTAAAGCTCTAAATCGATAAATCACGATGTATAGATGAATTAGGCATTACTTACGGGATTTTTGGATCACTAGAGCTCAATATTCGAGCTTTGGAAATTCTCCCGAGCTCCCCTGTTCGCTCTGCTCGGCCCTCTCGTTTTTGCTTCTCTCAGTCTCCTAAATAAAAAGAATGGACAGAAGAAGATGATGGGCAAAGAAATTCAGGGGAATGGATTTATATAGATGGCCAGTGACCGCTAAAAGTAATTATATATTTATATAATATATTATATATATACTTAATACGTATATTTATACGATCGATTGATAATCCGATTTTTGACGAAATACTATCAAAACGCTCGATTTTAAATCGCGAACTTTCTAGCCATCGAAATATGGGTTTAGCCAAAATGGGATGTTACATCGACTAAGGGTTGGCAACCAACCCTCGGATTTTCACCCTCATGGCGGATAGACCAACCACGCTAGAATCATGGTACTATTCTGATACTTGAGGTTTTGGCCCTAGATAAACCTAGAAGGGGTTACCCTAGAGGCTAGGAGGTCAAGCTCCCTATGGGGCAAAAGGGGATTTCCACCCACTATGCTAATTTTGACCCAACAAAGAGATAATGCAAGCAACATTCACTAATCATGATTAATTTAAGGTTTGTCCTAAACTGGACTAGGTGGGTGACACAAATTGGCCAAGAATCAAGCTTCCCAAAGCCTCTTTCAACAAAGTGATTCTCTCCACCTAGGTCAAAATGACTGAATCATGAGTAAAAGCTAGCACACTCAATCCTCCATGAAAAATTCCTCAAATATTATATAGAACACACAATCAACAC